GGCACCCAACATTGTGCTCTGGCCTCCACATGCATATTTATGGGCATTCACATTTATACATGTGTGCATATAACCCACAACACACACACACACACACACAGATACACACACACACGAAGTATTTACGTGTCAAAGAAGAAAGCTATCACACAGATACCAACTTCTGTTCATTATCCTCAGGTTAGTAGGTCCTTACCAAATTAAGATGCAAGATACTGTTTTCCCATCTCATGTAATGTAAACTACCTTTCTGGTACTTCTGAGTAATTTTGTTAATAGATGAGTGCCAGAATGATACTTCTGTTATTATTTTTCTTTTTGCTTATTTTTGAGACAGGATCTTATAGTAGCTCAGGCTAGCTCCAAATTCACCATGTACTAAAGATGACTTTGACCTTCAGATCCTCCAGTCCCCACTTCCTGGGTGCATGAATTATAGACCTGTACCCCCACAATCCTGTCTATGTGGTTCTTGAGACTCAACCCTGGACCTCTAGAGCATGCTAGGTAAACACTCTCTACCAGATGAATTACATCCCCAACCTTTGTAGTCAGTTTTATCTGGTTAGATATGTCTTCCTGAGATAGTAAATTAGAATCAGTCTGACAAAAATTCAGAAAAAAATGGGCACAGACTGCTGGCATTTATCAAGAGTGTCTGGTTTGGGCATCTATATTTTCTTGTTCATACCTTGATATCTGATTTGTTGTTTGGGGTCTTGATAGCCTGGGTCCCCACAATGACACGGCCTTTAAACACACACAAGGAATCATACAAATAATTAACAGTGATGAAGGGTTCTGAGAGGCTGGCTGGGGAGCAAGCATTAGATTCTGTTGTTCCCGTGTTAATTTTCCTGCAAAATTAACTAATGGCAAGACCCATCAGAGTTGCACCTGGCAGATTTTAGGAATAACTTTCAGAAGTATTCTCGGCTCCTGAGATAATATTCTCCACACTAGCTGGCAATGCCTTCCTGATGCTTCCTAACAAGCATGCAGCCTTGTTAGCAGTCACAGTATCTGGAAAGAAGCTGCCTTGCAGCAGCTGGAGCAGAACCTGCTTTTGTTCCCATTGTCAAAGGCTCAGTCACACAGTTTGCAGCCCTGCCTAGGGGATAGTCTGTTTCTGCAGAGTCAGCCTCTGGTTCAAGGCAAAGCTGCCTCCAAGACCCTCCACTGCTTGGAACCTCTGAGAAACAACCTTTGATTGCCGGTGACCTTGGTAAACTTCTCTAGACTTTCTGTTCAGCTTCTGATTTTACTTTTTTTTTATTACCTACTCATTTCCCTTTTCTTTCTAGGCCATTCCATCCTCGGGGATCAATTAGTTCTGCCTTTGTTCTGTTTTGCTTTCTGTCACAGTTTTTGAAATATATTGCCTAGATAGTTAAAAAACCACTAATAACCTAAACCTATATGAAACATGTCATCTCTGTAGTGAGAATCAAAAAGGGATATGAAAGCAACCAAGGACAGGGCCACCATTTTGGTGTCACTGCTTCCAGATACGTGACCTTGGGCAAGTCAATCTCATGGATCCTTTGCCTCTTTATTTGTAAAATGACCTTTTCTGTCCATCCTTGTCAAGGATCCTATGATTTTAAAGACTTAGAATAAAAAGTGATTTTTGTGAGGCCAGCCATATCTTCTTCATATTAAATGTAGGCTGAATCTGAGAAATAGCCTTTGTCCCAAAACTCAGACATTTGCCATTAATAATGTTATATGACAATCATAAAATTTCTATACTATGCAAATCCTTAGTTTATATACCCTGTGAGGTCATAGGTTAGAGGGTTGGGTGGTCTAGTTTGGACTTGGCTTAATTGGTTCTATTCTGGACCATGAGCTTCTCATCTTATTCTTGATATTATCAAGTTATCTTATAAATGTCTCACAGCAATGCAAAAAATAAGAGTATAATTCCAACATACATTCAATTTTCCTATCTTGAGTTAGTCATGCTATGATATTCCTTTGATCAAAACAAGGCACAATGCAAAGATCATTGTCAAGGTGTGATAATGGTGCAAGGAGATGAGAAGATTGCTGTGTCTGGGTAACAATGTTACATAAGATGAGGTGGTTCTATATGGGCTCCTCTTATTGAAAATGAAGATGGTGGTGAAGACGTGTGTGTACACCACAGAATTAAACATTGGTACAACATAACTGGGTCAATACCACACACACACACACACACACACACACACACACACACACACACATTTGGAGATAGGGTCTTCTTTATGTATCTCAGAGTAGCAGCAACCTCTGTGTGTAGTAAAAAGCTGGCCTTGAACTCCTGATCTTTTGCCTTCACTTTCTGAGTACTTACATGATACGTGTAGACAGACTACCACTCCCAGCTCTGAATCTGTTTCTAAGACAATGGAGATGATGTTTGAGGCTGTCTGTATGGTTTTACTGGCACATTCTTCAAGGTGCATCTGATACTTTCATTTTGCTCAAACAAGGAGTGGCAAGCTTATGAAAATACCTAAGGTGGCTGAGCACCTCTATGTTGCAGGACTGTGAAAAGTTCCTCTGGATCTCTGACTGAGCAAGCAGACAAATGACTGCTTTTTCCAGTCAAATGGCAGATGAATTTGCAAATGCTGACCAGAACAAGATTAAATAAGACCAAAAAAAAAAAAAAAACACTTCAGAGGGGAACTACCATAAAAACACCAGCACACCTATCACAGAACTTAAAAGTTATGTTAGGCTTATTTTGTACTGTAAAATCATCTCCCCCTTTACTAAAACTATTTATGTATCTCCAAATCTGCCACTTTCAAATCTTGATACCTCTGATTGTGTTCATGTCTCCAAAGAAAGCAACAAACTAAATCCACAATAAAATGCAAACACTTCACTGATGATTAAGTTGTTTAAATAAAAATAATTATCTTGTGGACCAACAGCTATGTATACGAGGCAAGTTTTTGTTACTTGAGAGCGAACAATGAACTGGGAATAGTTAAAGGAGGCAAACAGTTTATTTCTCCATTTGTTAAGCTGTATTAGTTATCTGCTGCTATGTTGCAAATTACACTGAAATTTGTTGAGCACTTCATTTCCTTACTGGTTTACACAAGCCAGTTTTAATCAGTGTTGGAGGGGATACAGAGTTGTCCAAATTTTGGCATTGTGACATGACGTTGATCTACAAGTGAGTTTGTTGGGTCACATTCATAGCTATCATAGGATGAATACAGCCTATGGTTCACAAGTTGATCATGCCTGGATGGGACAGGGCCACCACAAGAGCCAAGTGCCTGACTGAGATTTTGATCTGTGATCAGGGACTTGCACTGGTTCTGTAGTTCTTACTTTTGTATTTACTTTTGAGTGAATCAATGGAGAAAGCCGATGCAGGCACCTCACTCCTGAGAGAGTAAGATTTAATGGATTTCGAGTGGTATTAGATAGTATTAGAAAATGCAAACTTTCAAGTTGTTTTCATGTGCAGTTAGGGATAAGTACATTACCAGTGAATAAAATGGTTCCTCTGGGGAGTAAAGTCCACTCAGTATTTGCTATAATCATGTCTGTCAACAACAGCTGTTCTTCCCTCCTGGGGCAAGGAGTTTGGGAGGGTTTGAGGTGAAAAGGGAGATCTGTAATTTATTCAGTTGTAAAATGTTGCTGAGCGCAGCGTATGCCTGACTAATGAGACCGTTTTCTTCTTCGTTTGTAAATTCTGCTTAAGTGTTTCAGAAAACGTTGTTAGGGGCAGGGTTACTCTTTTACTTCCAATCCACTCTATCAGTTTTAAGACTAGTCAAAGCAGGTGGGCTTTATGAACAGGAAAGTCTCCAGCTGGGCTGCCTGTGGACTTATGTAAGCATCTCTTAGGAGTATGATGCATCCGAGCATGTGAGCACGTGGGCACATGTACACAGACAGTCAGAATTGAGAGCAAGATCACTCAGCTCTAGGAACCAATTAATTTCATTCATCTCTAGAAGGGAGCTGGTTTCTTGGCTACTTAACTCCTTTATCTTTCTCCATTCTGGTGCACGTGGCTGGCACTTGGACTGAACACGATGAAGAGAAAGGGTCAGGGAGGATTGGAGATGTAGTTCTTGGACAGGGTAATGTATTTTCCTTCAGTGACAATGAGTGACATAATTTCAATATGAAGACCTTTTGCAAACATTTGGAATTACTGTGATGATTTTGACATTTTTGTCTTAGAATTTTGTTAGGGAATGTAACAAAAGTCTGAGAGGATCACAGTTTGGCAACTAGTTTAGGATGACGGAAAAGATACAGAAGATTTTGTATGGGTATGTCTATGATTTGACTGTAAAGTGTTTCCCAATTGGTGCTCAACTGTTGACCATGTCCAAAGGTTGTGGAACCTTTTAGACATGGTATCTAGCTGGTGGATCTGAGAGGGTGGGGCTGAAGGGCTACTGGTCTCTCTTTTCTGCCAGTGTCACGTAACAAGCAGCTGCCACATGGCCCTGCCACCTTGGCTTACCCTGTATGATGGCTGTATCCCTCAGATCATGAGCTGGCATAAACCCCTCTTTTGTTAAATTGCTTACTGACAGGTATTTGGACACCATAGCAAGATATTTGACCAATACAAAGCATATGCTGGAAATCACTGTCCTCCCCAGTCAGAGCACGGAGATAAAACATGGAAAGAGTGCACTTTAAAAATGGCAGGAGCTGGACGTATGCCTCTTACATAAGCAAGTGAGTCTCTAGTTCTGGCACTGGGTGGAAACATTGCTTTATCTTCTATTACAGTGATCCTCAAACTTTCCTAATGCTACAGTTCCTTACGTTGTGGTTACCCCCAACCATAAAATTATTTTCATTGCTACTTCATAACAGTAATTTTGCTATTGCTATGAATCATAGTGTAGACAGTTCTTGGGAGACAGAGGTTTGTCAAAGAGGTCGAGACCTGCAGGTTGAGAACCACTGCTCTAACTCTTTTTTACATCTCAAGTGTGTGCAGATGAAAGAGGGAGGTGTTGGGAAAGCAACTCGTTTATTTCCAGCATTCACTTGAGCTGCAGCAGAGGCATGGCTGGCTGGCGATGATGTTAATACAGAACAGTGTATCTTTCAGCGAGACTGCAGAAACCAGCTGCTGTGTGGCAAAGCTCAGAAGCTCACAGTGCCTCCATCTCACGACAAGGCAGATCACATCCAGGGGGTTCTTGAATGCACGTGTACTTGATGGGAGGCGGTGGTGGCTTGAAAGGCGGGGGCCTTTCCATGCTGGGAAGAAAAAACATTTATCTTTCAGTGCTGAGAATGTGAGGTGGTACTTTTTAATTTTTATTTATCCTGTGTGTCCTTTATATCATGTATCTCAATCCTATTCATTTCCTCATCCCTTTGCATCAACCCATGAGGCAGTATTTTTTTTAACATTAGAGGTATATTGATGAGGAAGAAATACACTCTATCTTCTCAAAAATTTTGGCAATTTAACTCTGAAAATGATCTTACCATTTTAATTAATATGGTTTTCTATACACACATATATGGTTAATTTATTTTATAGATTGCAAAGTTATTTTGATCTTGGCATTTATTTTGTACCTAAGAATTATTATAATCACTGTTTGACAGAAAAAAAACTGTGGCATAGAGGCTTTAAGACACTTGCTTAAGAGAAGCAGGCCAGCAAGAGAAGTCTTGTAACTAGATCCCATAATCTCCATGGCAACTGTCTCCTAATGGGAGGAGCTTTACTCTTACACGGGTAGAACATCCCTCCAGAGACAGAAACATAAAACTCAAGGACTTTTTCAAATAGTAACTTTGTCAACTCTACCCTCAGCCTTTATGCACACACTCATGGACACGGTGAGGATCTGGTACAAGTGGGAAGTGAGGTCTTTCTGTACTCCTGGGTTCATTTGGGGGGATAATGCACACATGACACTGCCTTTGTGCAAAGTTCTATTTCATGGTAGCACAACAGCATCTCGATTTAGAGAGAGAATGAGTGAGGAGGAGAGTGTGGAAGATGGGGGGAGAGAAAGAGAATATTTTGTATATTTTTATCTTTATATGTAATAGATACACAGAGAATTGAAAAGTCTCAACTCAAAAACTCAGTATTTTTGTACTTCCATTCATATTAATATAAATATACATAAGTGAAAATGATATATTTTTATTTATGTGTATGTCATGTATGAGGCAGGTACCCTCAAAGGCCAGAAGAGGCAATCAGAACAACTGCTGCATGAGGTGGTGAGCTACCAGACACCGGTGCTGGAACTGAACCTGGGTCCTCTGGAAGAGCAGCAAGTGCTCTTAAGCAGTGAGCCATCTCTCTAGCCCTGTAATCTGTAATTCTCATTACCTTGTTTGTGGCTGTTGAAAAACATGAAAATGTGGATTTGAGTCTAAGAAACTTGTATTTTTTAAGAAAAATTATGAATTTCCTAAGGTCATATAGTGTCCAAGGTACAGTCCTTGGATTAAAAACATGAAATATTTGTTGCTCATAGTTATAGAGCAGGAACATTCACTTTTGACATTGTGACATGATGTTCCTTCCCATCTTCAAACCTGTTGGGACACATTCATAGCTCCTCTGGGATACATGTGGTAGGCAGGATGCCTGTTGGGTATACCTGCTACATACAGTCTTCAGGGATACTCCGGGAAGAGGATGCTGTGCCATGATGATTATTAGATAGCAAATACACGGAGATCAGCGCTGTGTATTGTGGGCTCTTCTGTAATCACAGCCTAGTCCAAACTCACCCCAATTACTGAATCAGAAAATCTTTCACCTACTAAAGATTGCTGCAGAGAACTTCTTGTCAGAAAAAGGGAAGGGATGGGAGAAGCCCACTCTGATGGAGAGCAGCTGGTAAGTTCTTAAAAATTACTTCTCTTACTCAATTTCACACTTGAGCATCTGGGTCCAGCTGATCCCAGTCAGGTCAAAAATGCATGAAAATGAAAAAACAATGCAGATTGAAAAACACAACCAGTTTTAGCTTTATAGCAAGGAGAGTCTTGGTTCTCCTTTCAGGCCAACTGACCTGTGCACAGAATCTGTTGTTCCACCCAAGCAAGCCAGTGCAGAGAGGGAGACGGAGTCAGGATCCCTGTGTTGAGCCTTCACTGAATGATCCTGGGAAAATTGTATATTCTGTCTGAGCTTCTGGAAACCTGACTTGCTTGTTAAATTATGAGAGGAATGCCATGTAGTCTTCGTATCAAGTGAATATTTTATGATGGAAAATGTAGATGTCTCTACATATCTTGAATACTCACATTTCTTTTTGGTACTGACACCATTTTCTTACTCCAAGCCCAAACAATATTGTGCAGAAAGAGAGCAAGGCTGCTACAACCACAGGCCAGGACATTCCATCTCTGGGCTTACTAATGGTTATATCTGAAATGGGCAGAAAGAGATGAATGTTAGTGCCAAATGTTGGCACTGGGAAAAACAAAGGAATTTCTGTAGCTCAGTGTATCCCAGTCGTAGAATGCTTGTTCAGTATACGTGATGCTCCATGTATAATCCTTGATGTCATAAAACATTAACTTTTCATATGGAAGAGACATGTTTTCCTCAAGGATTATAAAGTGTTCACTGATTATGACCATCCATTCCTTTATATAGGATATGACAATGTAATAGTTGGTTAAGTATCCTATCAGCAATTTTCTATGACTACAAGAACAATAATGTATATAGATGTGTGTCATAAATATATATTCATTATATTATAAATATATATTTCATATATTATAAATGGGTGCATCCTTGCATACTATTCTGTTCCAGACCTCTTAGAAGATATTTAGAGTTATTTTCATGGCAATGTATAGAAATACATATTATACTATCTTATGCCTGGCTAATTCTCCAGAACTATAGATAATTTAATTTGTTCCTTAATGTTAGATCATCAATTATTTCAATTTTTTATTCTAACATTACTTTAGCAAAATTTCTTAGACATACAGTTTGTTATTTTTGAGACAGGGTTTAATATATTCTAGGTTGCCTGGGAGTCACTATGTAGCTGAGAATAACCTTGAATTCTGGATCCTCCTGCCTTTACCTTCTGAGTGGAGGACTGTAGATTTGTGCTTCCATGCCTAACTTATGAGGCTTTGAAGATTAAACCCAGGGTTTGCTTCATGCTAGTTAAGTACTCTATCAACTGAGCTACATTCTTGGTCTCATTCATTCATTCATTCATTCAGTGCCAGTGAATCAAACCCAGTTCCCTGCATATGCTTAGGCAATCATTCTACCATACCTTAAGAAAGTCATAATTTTTCTAAAAATAAGTACAAGTTTCTTGAGCTCAAATCCATCTTTTGATACAGTTTTAATCTTCATGAAAGCACTCACAAAAAGCTAGTAAGAGTTACAGATCATGGGGCTAGAAAGATGGCTCAGTGCTTTGGAGCACTGCTCTTACAAAGGTTCAGTTCGCAGCACCTATGCCAGGTAACTCACAATGTCATCTAGCAGTGACTCTCTAAGAGATATGACTGCTTCTTCTGGTCCTTGAGTGTACTTGCATTCATACTCTAGGCATATTTATATTAGTTTACATAGATAATTTGAGCAAAAATTTTCTAGGTTGTTTTTTTCCTGTTTCAAATTGGTAAGTTGCTTTTGGGTGGTGACAAGGTCTATATCTCTTTGTTTCCTAGTTTTCATTATTTATATTTATACAGTAAAGTTTCAAAACAGTAGGAGTTAAAAGACTGACTTAATTAGTTTCACGCAGTTGGAACTGCAGGTCACTGATAAAGAGTTACCTAGTTACCTGAAGCCTTGAGTTCAACCTTCATCACTAAGAAAATTAGTGCTATCAATAATTTGTATGTTTACAATTTTTGACTACAGGCTTATGATATTGCCATGTATATCATTAAGATTAAATCTAAAGACTTTTTTCATTTCCACACAATACACATTTTTGGCCATGCTGATGACCCCTCCTACCTCAACCTGCCATAGGAAACACTGGAGGTAACTTTGAAGCTTATGATGTTCTATTCATAAACACATGGTGCTTAGTCTCTACTGATGACTAGAGTTCATAATACAGATCTTTTGGGTAGCATGAGAAAATAAAGAAGACCAATCATACAGATAATTAATCTAGAGCCAAAAAAAATTCTCTTCTTCAAATAAAAACTTACAAGGATGTATCTGGAAATTGTATATGAGCCAAAATTTTACAACCAGCATTTTAGAAAATGCAAGAAGAAAAGTTTCTGAGTTTCATGTCAAGGCAGGTGAATCATCTTTTGAGCATAGATTTCGATTCAACCTTCCAATCGTGCCTCTCATGATCATGAAGCCAGTATCATGAAGCTATTTGTTAGAACTTTGACTTCAGCTTCTTCATCATGATGTGTGGGATGGTGCTGCAAGTGATGGGCAATTGCATGGCCGCCCATGGCTGTCATGTGCTCCCTAGTCACCTGAGCACGCTCATCACCATGTGAAATTGAGGACTATTCCCTATGACTTGACAATCCTGACCTCTGTGAAGGTTTAAACTTCACTTAATCACTTGCTCTTTCAAGATGCAGAACAAGGAATTGCATTTGCGCTGACATAATTTTTATTAGTCGAGCTACAGGAATATTCTTTATTACAACAATCTTTCTTGTCTCGAATAATGTTTTCATAAGACTGCAATGTTTCTTCTACTTTTCAACTGGCTAATTCTTATCCTTTTTATTCTTTCAAATTAATTTAAAATATAATCAACTTATAGCATTTACTATTCTCCAGGTAAAAATCAGGTCTTTCTGTTCGATTCTGAAAATACTTTATCATAACTCTTGTCAAAAACAAGTTCACTTGTGTGATAGTTTTTTGCATCTCATTCCCAATGGGTCATCATCTTTAGGATGCCAGTGTTACTGCATACTCAATACATGCCAGAATGTCTGGAAAGGTGCTCAAAATACTTTATTTACTGAGTAAATAAAACATAAAATAAAAGACAAAACAACTCACTGGTGATATGGCTGTGCTCATTTTCAATTGTTCCTCTTGCTGTTGTAGGGACATCTGGAAATTCTTTGGTTGTGCTAGTGATGACATCTAGGGATATAAAGGCAACATGCAAATCCATCTTTACAACCATTTCAAAATGATCAAATGACATAAGCTCATAATTGAATTACAAGTAGCACTGGGAGAATCTCAATTCGAATGGCCTCAGCATACCTATGTTAAGTCTGACTGGGCTAAGGAGATGTTTCTACATTAAATTTAATTCTAAAAACCTAGGTCTTGGGATTTGTCTAATACCTACTGAATGAGTGGAATTTCCTGATAGTTTAAGGAATAGAGTCTTCACATTTCTGAATTACAGAACAAGGATGACTGAAGAAACTCCCTGAAAAATATGAGTAGCTTTGCAAAATTCTATAGGTGAGGTCATAATCTCACAGATATAATCTCACAGGTTAGTTAAGATTCAGCAAATAAAAATATGGATTCTCCATGCTCCAATATAGTAGAAAGTCATCAGAAATTCTTTTGCAACAAATAAACAAATCCACAATGACCCATCATTCTATGTCCCATGGAAAATGAAAAATTGAGAGGCATTTTCAGGGGTGTAACTGGTCAAAATGTCATCATATATGTTTCTTTTGATGCAAACTGTAAAAAAAAAAAACCTAAGGCTGTGTTTCTGTCTTGCTGACTGACTGAAGGATTTTCGTACCATTCATTGTCATTTTCATCACGAGGAAGATCTTTAAAACACCTGCCTGTGACTGGCATCTCATCATTCTTGTTTTCCATCTGGGCCCACTTAAGCATAGTACTGTCTTCTGTGTCACTCTGTCTTTTCCAGGTACTCACCATGAGGAGCCAAGCTTGCCTCTGAGGGGGCTAAAGTGTGCCTTTCACTGGGTATCAATGAAACTGCTAATGGAAGAAGATATGTGCAGAGTCAGTGTTTGTAGTCATGTTTTTTTCTTCATCATTAATCTATTCTAACAGCTGGGAAAGGTACAGTAATGGATACTTAAAATAATCTTATTCATCATCCTTGCAATGGACATTTGATTTCCCCCAGTACAGTGAGAGTAGAGGAGATGCTTATGGTTTTTAAGACCTCTAGTTGGGAAAGTTTCAATGACGGTCACTGCTGAGGTTCAAGTTACCTCGCCTAAAAGATGTTGACAAAATGAGAGCATTAGAAGTGAGTCTTTAAGAGATCAGTGCACTACAAGAGCTTCTCCCCTGATGAATGGTCTTAAGACCCTTATGAAAGAGGCTTCTTGGAGCATCCACCTCAGTCTTTCAACCTTGTGCCATGTGAGGACCTAGCAAGGAAAACTTCATCAAATGCCTGCATCTTGATCTTGAGCTTCCAGTATCTAGAGCTATGAGAAAAGACATGCATTTTCTTTATAAAATATGCCATCATATTCTTCCGTAAGTATGAAAGTGGATTGACTTAGTCCCTTAAAAATAGGGTGAAAGAATGGAAGAAAGCTCCTCTGGCATGGAGAGTAGGCTCTCATGTCCATCCCTCAGAGAAGCAGAAAGATGGGAGGAGAATGAAAACCCTCATTTGTTATGGTAGTCTTTAGTCAAGTAAACATATCAGGAGGACTTTGAAGACCTTGTGGGAACATTTGAGAAGGAAGAAAGGTATTTGTTTTTGTGGGTCCCTAGCATTTCCAATCAACTGTGAATAACGAACTGTATCAAAAGTGAACCAACAGACTTCCATGGCCACAGGCCTTGTTAGCCCTGGCACAGTGTCTGTATGACACCTGGAGGCAAGCCATTGCCTTGAGTGAATGGCAACAAACATGAGTTTTGAAATAGATCTGTCAACTCCGTTTTGTTTATTGTTCTCTCTCTGGAAAGAAAGACCCATTTCTTGGCACACACCTGACTTTGAAAACAAGCATAAAGGAAGATAACTACAGAGGTGTAAGCCTGCCATCAATAGAAACATTCTATACCTATACATTTAAAAATGACCACTTCCACACTTCCAGTTAAGGGCTTTAGAGTGCCAGGAGCTAAGCAGATGAATGAACGAAACAAGACCATTTAGCCTCTGCTTTCTTGCTATCTCCTCTGTGTGTCAACAGTAGCTGCAACTGATGAAAGGCACATGCAGAAGTTGCATCTGCCATCAGTAAAACTCTCCAACCCTGCCCTTTGACTTTGCATGACTCTTTTGTTCTAGACAGAATATGGAGATTTACAGGCGATGGACTGATCATTTGCTTAAAGCTCATTTTTTGTGTTTAAGCCATTGTTAGACAGTGATTCCATTGACAAAAAGCAATGACTAATTAAAAATCAATTGTGAATATTTGAATAAAATAAAGATGGTAGTAGAATTTTCTGGGTAAACTTGCTTTAATTTCCCCCCACACTATAGTGTTGCCTTTACCTTTTTTCTTTCACAGCCTGGCGTCTTTTAGTACCCTTTCAGAATAAGTTTGCAAGAAAGGATGGAATACATTAATTTAAGGTAAAAATGGTTGAACAATTGTTATCTATTTAGGTGGAATCTGTGTTTAAAGCAAAAATGTTTTTCACTACATGTTTATTATCAGTGAACCAATGATGAAAATTTTATAATAGCTAGTAACCACTGAACACTAACAGGCTTTGTACTAAATGTGGGAGAGCAGTTTTTCTCATTGGCACTGATTTTTTTCTTAAATTAAAAAAAAGTCAAGCTTAATTCAAAACTCAAGGAGTATCATCACAATCTACATAAATTATATAAATAGCAACACTTAAAATTATGCAAATTGATGATTCAATAACATTTCTTTTTATACAACTGTAACATGTCTTATAATAAACCATATTCTATAATAATAGTAAACTATAAAACCCACTTTGAAAAAAGAGAGAGCTATTTTTACACATTTTATTTTGTTTGTTCTCATTATGTGGCTCCGGACCTCTCTGTATAAACCAGGCTAGCCTGACATTTGTGGTGATCCTGTTACCTCTCACTCTCTTTTGAGTGCTGTTATTACAGGCACATGTGCCACCACATCTGGCTTGTTTTCTTTTTCACTGTAAGATCTACTGTTTTGCATGTGTTCAAAATTTCCTGGTAGTCAGAGAAGTGAAGGAAAAGGACCTTGCATTTGATCTGACATGTCTTAAGAAACTTAAATTGTGTAAAGGAGGAATTTCAAGACCAAAAATACATTGCAAAGTCTTTCGGTAGGATGAAGAGATGATTCCCTCTTTTCTTTGCTCATTTCTGTGTGTATTAGGTGTGGCTGTGTGTGGTGTGGGCACATGTTCCTGTGGATACATGTGTACACGGCCATGCATGTACACAGAGATTTGGGATTTAATTTGGAAGCCATCTTAAATCAATCTTTCACCTTATTCACTGAGTCATGATCTCTCAATTCGGCCGGTCTAGTTATCCAGCTTGTTGGGCTGGAGGACAGCTTCCTTCCTTTCCCAAGCTGGAACTACAGGCAGGCTGCACACCCACTAGTATTTACATGGGTTTTGTGAGTCTGAACTGAGGTCCTCGTACTTGCAAGGCAAACACTTAACAACTGAGCCCTTTCTCCAGCCCCTGCAAATAGTTTTTATGTTGATTGCTCCTGGATGAGAATAGTCTCCCTGAAGCATGACAGAGTTCTCTGTAAGATAGAATTGGCTATCTCCAATGACCTATCATTCGCTTATCCAGCAGATTCCTGAAAGCTCACTCACTCCCACCATTTAAACACCCCATTCTGAGCAAAACCACTTTCCATTCTTCTGTTTTCCAGGGAATCTCCAAACAAAATGATGTTGAGTTCTTTGTTTGATTGAAATCATCTTTGTTGCAGCCTCATTATGTTTGTGAAATACATGGGCTAATATCCTTTAAAATCTTTTGAGCACCTTTTTTCATCAAAACCCAAAATGAGGATGGCTTTGATATGGGAGGAACAAGCAGTAGGGTAACCGATAACATTCTCTTGTACAAAACCAGCATCAGCCACAACTGTGAGCACAGGGAGACTATGTTGTAGAATCTCAAGTACATTCATATATTCTTTTTTGAGTGACTCTTGGTAAAATTTGCTCAGCAGGAAAGGGTACTTCTCACCTATAGTAAGGGCTTAATAGATTGCTGTGCATTCTGTGTCTTCACTAGGTACAATAACTGTGGCTATTCACTTAAGTCCTATTGATGGTTGTCAGGGAAATTACGGTGTATTAGCAACTATTTACCATCGTAGTTAGATCTACTTAGAATTATATCAAAATTCTTTTAAAAATAGTTTTGTATTTCTTTAATTTGAAACATTTTTTTCAGTCTGGTATATAAGCATTTTCATATACATGCCATAATTTGTTCTAATATCTACAGTTCTTTCGATGAAGCCACTGATAATTTCTGTTATTCTTATAGGTTTGTTCATGTAAACTGAGTATTAGGGAGAATTTTTACATAATTTTATACATACAGAAGACTTTCCCTACTTTTATTGCTGAGGCAAGGTCTCATGAATCCCATGTTGACCTTGAACTTTCTATATAGTTTAGGATGACCTTGAACTCTTGGTCTTCCTGTTGGCACCTTCCAAGTGCCAGGATTATAGGCATGTTTCCCACTATGCTTGACTTAGGAAGTAGACTTTCGAAGAGCTGTTTCTTGGTTGTTGATTCTTCTCTATGGGAGTATCCTTAAGTCCCTGAATTTTGCCCCAGAACAATGGTTGAGGTGACAAAGAACATCCAGAGAGCAGATACAGGGATTTGTGTGGCCTGTCTTCTGTTCTGCCTTTCCCATCAAGAAGAATATGTCTGGATATGGCAACAGTCCTGTCTCTAGAATGCACACAGTGGTACTAACCATTGTGCCCAGTTTTGCCATGACCAGCTAGTCCACAGGTGGGACCCCCCACAAGGCTCCAAATCATAAAAATGAGATGCTACTCACAGTCCTTGTGGCCAGAGGAAATGGCATTTTAACAAAAAGTCGACTTTTAAATCAGAGAAGTAACATTTTCACTTGAGGTTGACTTCAGAGGAAGCTGTGGAGCGGGCACTGGGGTGGTAAGTGACAATGCTTCTGAGGAGAGGGAGTAGAATGAGATAGGAACTAAGAGTAAGACTTTGGAATAGAGGGCAGAAATGCTGAGTTTAGACAAGTGACCCAACAGGGGACAGAGGACTCATTGTCCACTACCTGAGTTTCTGGTATGGCAGGATTCTGCCTCCACTGTCTCTCAGTTCCTCATTGTCACCCTCTTCCCACTTTTTTTCTGGAAGAGCCTCTCCCTGCATAGTACAGGAAAGACTAGATCTCCTGATCCTCCCATCTAATCTTTCTGAGTGCCGGGTCTCTAGCCTCCTCAACTCCCTCTGCCTAAGGAATATAGCCAGAGTGCTGTACAACCATTAAGATTTATGAATACCAAGACTCTGAAAATTCTTGCTAGGACTAGGGGCAGAGTAAAAAAATATATTTGTAAAGCTGAAGAAAGTGATATAACATTTGAAAGTTAACTGACTTATGGTCTAAGAACACAATAGTCTCCCAGGTGGGTAGCAAAGCGAAGCCGTCTTCTGGACAGCCTGGAAGCCATTGTGGTCAAGCAGCAACTGCCGGGCTAGAAGCTGGTGTTTGTGTGCTGAGGGGGCATTGTTATTTCTGGAAATTTTTACAGAAACAAGTTAAAGCACCATGACTTTCTCCAAAAGCTGATGAGCACCAACCCCGTTGGAGGTTCCTTCCACTCTGAGTCCAAACTGTTTTTTTGACACACAGTATGAGGTATGTTACTCCCCAATAAGACCAAGTGAGGCCTGGCTGCCCTGGAATGCTTCAAGGTGTTGGATTGGATCCCTCTCTCTTATGACAAGAAATAGCAGATGATGGTCCCTGTTGCCCTTGTGCTTGTGCAGTGGAAGCCTGTGGGGAAGTTTGTTCATTTGGGGCGTTTGGTGGAAGTACCAGGTAACAACAGCCATTCCTCAGGAGAAATGGAAGGAGAAGGCAAAGATCTACCACCCAGAGAGGCAGCTCTTGAGGCTATAGACACAGGCAGAAAAGGACATGGAGAAAGAAATTAGCAAGTTCCCAGAGGTCCTCAAGACCAAAGGACTCCGGGTGTGAACCAACAAAGACAGTGCCTTGAAAACAAACAAACACCAATGAAATGTCCCTTTAAAGTCAGCAATGGTGATTATGAGGCTCATGCCATGAAAACGTCATACATGGATGTCCTGTGGTGAGTCAGATGCTTCAGGCCCCTGGAGACCCAAAGTGCTTTTTTGCTTGTTTACCTCAGATTGACTGGTTTCAATGTAGCTTTAAGCTTCATTGGACCAGGTGGATGGCAAAGGAAATCAGGGAGAAAGTAATTAAGATTCAATTTTCCACTCCATGGCCTGATGGCCTGAGCACTGGGGTGAACATGCCTTCCAAGATGCCATTAACTTCACCCACTGGGGTATGAAGGTGGCCCAGCAGAGTGTTCCCATTTCATAGGTGCTTAAAAGAAAATACATATTTTGTTTCCAGGTCTTGGGAAATTTGGAAGCTGAAGTAGGATTAGATTCCACTATCTTTTAATCCCAGTCTGGATCTCATTAAGTTAATAAACAAAATGACAGCAGAAGACTGCATTCAAACATATTCTTATAAATGCAGATAAATACAACGCAGTAAAAACAGCAGAGGTATCTAAATATGTATGAGGCCCATAAAGTGAATCTCCCAAGACCATGTTCACAAGCAGCAAAGGACCCAGAAACACAGAAATCATCCATTATCATTCTTTTTCTGCCTGTAAGTACTTTAAAAATCTATTGAAATAAGCATATTGAGAGGAGAAAAAATCCCATTACCAAGCCTGTCCTGAACCTTGCCAAATGCATCATCCAATACTGCATGTCGCACTACAGCCCAATTCAACTGGCAGCAATGTGTTTCAAAACAGTTGAGGAGTGAGCATTCAATTTCAGCTTGTTAGATTCTAATGGATTTCTGTGAATGATTATAGGCAGAGCACCCACAGCGGGGGATTTTTTCCTTCTTCTTTTAAACTTATGGAGAAAAAATGATCACATCTTATTCACGCAGTATTGAGAATGTGAGTCTTCACTGCTAGTGAATCAGTCTTTGTCGGATGGATGTCAGAGTCCCTTTCGAGACCTTATTGTCTCAGACCATTTTAGGATAAGAACACTGATGAGATGTCCTTGGACAACCTAAGTTTTCAAATGGTAAAAAACAGAAAATGTGGATGATTGTAATAGTTCATTTCATGTGAACTGTATCAAAAAGACTAACAATATGGTACATAAACTAAACAAAGGCTTCCTAGTTTCTGAGGTAGAAACTGTGCTGGTTAACTGTACAGTTGGCTTGCCCCTGCACAAGCTGGAAAATACCGACTTCCCTACTTCCCCCAACCTTGCCCACATGGAAAAACTAAATGGAAAGGTATGGAACCAAAAACCCAATTCTACATTTCTGGCAGTCAGTCCATCCCACTCTCCTGATGTGACCAGCCCACCCAAGTGTCCACCCTGCGGCTTAGCCTTTGACCATACTTGGCAGTCCCAGCTCCGGGCTGCCACGCCATCTTGATCCCTCACCTAAGATCTACAAAACCTCCCTGCCTTAGCTTCAGGGAGAGACTTCCATGACCAAGTTCTTTCTTCAAGACCAGTTAGCCCACTGGTTGCTTTGTTCTCAACAGTTACGTTGTTATACTTGTAGTTTGACTTGGTGTGGCTACTGGTCAGTGGGGAAACAACTGTCTGGATAAAAACATATCAGTAACCTCTATGCCCTGCTTCATTCTGGTGTACAGGAGGGCAAGAATTTTCCTTTCTTTCTTTTCCCTTCCTCCTCTTCTTCCTTCCCTCTTCTGTCTGTGCCCCTTTCTCCAACACAGCATAATGTAATAACAAAGCAAATAAATATGACTAGAGGCTTGGAATGTAGCTCATTTTGGTAGAGTGCTTGCCTAACAAGCATGAAGCCCTGGGTTTGATCCCCCAGCTCCACCACTGACAGACCTAGCTAGGTATGGTGGTGTGTGCCTGTAATCCTAGCACCCAGGAAGTGGAGGCGGGAGGATCTGAAGTTCAATTCAAGTCACCCTCAGCCTGGGATACCTGAAACTGTTCAAAAATAAACTTCAAACTTCCAATTAAGTCAATCATTTCATTTTACTGTGAGTCTTCTGAGTCTTCTTTGTGAAAATGCAATTACCTTTTCACTCATTCACTCTCTGATGACCACTGTCACTGTTGTAGATGTTAGGATACACAGAGCAGTGAGAAAGAGGTCAAAAGTTTTAGGTACATGATCTTTCTTACCCTATACCCTAGTATATTAAAAATATATAAAAATGAAAAAGATAACACATTGAAAGGTATGGGGAAAAATAAAATATGAAATAGTTTATATGCACTATATGTACAATATAAATTTGTCTTAGAGTTGTCTTTTTCAGTAACACCCTCAGTAAACTTTTATCTCCACTGCTACAAACTTTTTATTGTATAATTAACAAGTGTCCCTTCTTACATCTGAATGTCTCTCTTTCACTGGTGTTCATTGACTTGTCCAGGGTTTACTTTAGGGACAGAATGTAGGTAAACATAAAGGGTTCATGGCATTTGCTTACAGGACTGTCTAAAGAATAAAGGATAAGACACTAAGGTGGGTGGAGAATTGTAGCAGTTTATTATAAACAACTCTCCTTTATATGGCACTATATAAGTGTGAACTTTCTCCCTCTGGGTCATTAGTGCTTCCTTGTTAATTTATATACACTGGGTAAAAGTCTTTCTAATTTGTGTCTTTGCTTACATAAGACACATCGAGTATTTTAGTACATCATGACTATACTTTTGGATGTCTTCATAATACTTCATTCTCCTCAACAATCTCCTGTTTTTGGTTATTATCTTTCCTTAGTATTGTCTCACTTTTATCCACACACATAGATTTCAAGATGTTATAAATAACAGTATACTAGTCCTAGCCCTTATTATTTCTAACAGCACTGTTCTGAATACTACAATTTATGCAGTCAATAATTTTATCACATGACTAATCCATGAAATATGATTAATTAATTTTCTGAGATAGAATCTTATCTCTAGGTTACGTGGACTTGGAACTCACCATGTACATAGTCAATAATTTTATCATATGACTAGCCCATTTATTAAATTAAATAAAGTTTATAAAATTAAAATAGGTATTATACTATATGTAATTTGCTTCCACATAATGTGCAGTGTAACAATCCATCTGGATGCTTTTCTTAAAAATAATCAATATTTTGGTAAGTTGTCTGAAAAGTCCCCTCTTTTTCACCATCATCTGCCATGCTACCTCTATTCTACGTCTGAACTCTACTTATCTGTGCCTCTCCTTCAGTGCTCCCCCTTCTGAACATTGGTTTTTCACCCCTTGTTTTGAGGGCACTGAGTTTAAACACAGATATCCATTCCTAGTATATTTAATGAACGAAATATGTTAAATTATGGAGGATATTCCATTGGCTAATGATAAAAGTATGTGATGAGTTAAAGATTATAATTAATCTAACTTCAGACATAAGGGAGATAAAAGCAATAATAACATTGCAAAGACCTGTAGTGTATGAATTCTTTCTTTCTCTCTCATTTCCTGAGGACAAACTTCCCGTGGCACAATGACTGAGCCAGTGAGTACAGACGATTTTTAGGGTTTTACATGCAACTTTAATGCTTGTCAATGCATGTTCTCTTTGTGCCAGAGAGCCCAGCAGTTAAGTTCCATTTTATCCTCGCTTCTTTTTGTTCTACTTTCCACGCCGCATTCCCTGTGCAGCTGTTTGCCTTCTTCCACTAAGAGGCAGTATTTATCCTCTTCAGGCTGTTAATATCTACTAAGGTGGACCCTGCAGTTGGTTCCAAGGTATACTAATGCCTTTGCATTGCACTTGACTCTATCTTCTATTTAAAATAAATATAATATTTAGTTTATTCTTTGAGAATATAACACATGTATACAGCATGTTTTGTTTATATTCTTTACCTGCTTCTCTCCTCCAATTCCTTCTAGACTCTCCCCAAATGCCCCTCCCTTCATAATTTTGTCTATCTATCTATCTATCTATCTATCTTCTATTTATCATTTATCTACCTTATCTATCGATCATCTATCTAGATAACTTCTTCCTTCTTTCTCTGTGTCTCTTTCTTAGTAAGTCACTGAGTCTAGTTAGTGCTGCTCATATATGCATGAGTGTGGGATCACCCTCTGAAACATTGTCAATCTATCAGAGACCACACCCTTAAAGAAAACCAAGTCTCTGTCCCCTAACAGCCATCAACTGTCAATGACTCTTCAACTAGAGGTGGGAGTTCATTCTCTCTGTCTCTTTTTTTTTTGTTGTTGTTATGGATACACACATCCTGGCTAGTTTGTACTTTCTACACATGCATTCAGAACTCTCTTTGACATCTTCATTGGTTTTTGGTTCTATCTATCATCTTTCTTCTTTCCCCTTCCCTTGCCTTTCCCTGCTCCCTTCTTTCAGAAGGCAGAATATCCTCAAGAACTACCGATATACTAGCCTTCCTATGTCTATGTATTGAGTTTTTTCCTTGTGTCATTAGTTACCATGTTTATGTCTCACCTCACAGCAAATTTGGAACTTAGATCTTTCCCCCATATGTATTCTAATCACCTGCAACAGTTCTTTAAACATAGTGTATGCTTTACAAGTTTTTAAGAATATAATTATGAACACAGGGCATGATGGCTGCTCAGTACATGAGCTGGGTTAATGAATGGAAGACACAGAGGGACCCATGCTTATACGTCACCATTTTTGGCATCTGTCTCACTAGATATCTGGGAATAGTTGAAGCCTTGAGTAGTCGTGCTGGAATTACTGCCTGAAAGATAAAATTATTTTAAGAATCCAACTTTTTTCTTATAAAAATGTAATTTAATTTTACTTTGACGCATTGTTTTTAATCTGTGAGACTCTGATGACATGTGAAATGTCCTTCCTACTCAGATACTAGCTGTTTCAAGGCTGACACTTTGTGTTTCATGTTTAATGTCAACTTGTTACTGGTGTATTTCCTTTTTCTATCCTTGTAACTGAGTTACTTTAATATTACTTTAAAATGTCTTGGCAAATGAAAGGTACATTGTAAAGATGCCATCAACATTTACTGTTAAGATTATAGTGATCATCACATCCATATGTAGTCACCACAGGGTAAATCAAAATCAATTGGAAAACATAAGCTTTTCCTAGGCCTCAGGTTTTAGGTATGGTAGTAAGATGGGTGAGTTGTTGAGTATGAAGCATGGGAGAACAGGCCTGCTGTACTCACCTTGAGGAGTTGCATCTGGTGTAGTCACATCTCCATCTACAATGGCCATTGAAGACATAACTGGAAATCCTGCTTTTAAAACACAATTTCCAAATTTCTATAAGCATTTACAGTCACATGCTTAATGAGGACACTAAACAAGAGAGTTTTGGAAGGAATCTAAGTAGACACATAGTCTAATAGCTTCATTTTAAATATGGAAAAAACTGAACAGAGGAGTATATGCTTATGGTTACACAGAAAATATTCATATAATTCCTTTGCTGTTAACACAGTTCTCCTAAATTCAAATCTATTATATTTACTCTCCAAACCATATATTGATTCAATATTTACCTTTTACCAAACACTATTCTAGGTGCTAAGGTTGTAGCAATAACTGAAATCAAGGATTCTGTCTTCATGAAATTTACCTAACAGTTAATTTTCATAAGACTAAAATATTTTCACATGCTAACTATGGTTTTATATTTACTTTGATTCTTGGCTTACAATGAATTTTCATAAGAATATATTTCCACATACTCTGATTTCATATTTATTTCAATTCTTAGCTTACAAAGTCATCTCCATCTTTACAACATACCCTTTTCCTCCTATGTCTCCCCCATCACAAAGGGAAATGTGCTTCACATTCACTTGAAACATGAATGTTCCTCTAGAGAAGAGGCAATACAGATGAAGGAAGGAAAAATCTAAGCACACTGTTGAACCGTGTTTGCATCTCCTCGAGAGACATGTCTTTAATATATTTTGGTTGTGTGTATTTCTCCTTTGTTCCTAAACATACCTAAGGCAGCTTATGTAAAATTCAGCAAAAGAAACAAAACAGTGAATAAAAAGAGGAAATAAGAACAGAGGAAATCGTAAAAATTGAGTTCTATTCAAACCGGAATAGGGATTGGACATATTATGCATTACTTGGTATTTGTTCCCTAATCAGATAGAGTTCCACATTTGGCCTGAATTTTCTAGGGCAAATTTTAGGAAACAAGCAATTTATATTGTTTGATTGATGTGTATTAAAAGAAAAAGTAAGTCAGTTTTGGGGAGTTTTTCTTTTTATTATAATTGAGAAAAGGATTTTCCAAATTCTTGTATGATGAATGCTGTGGAAGTTGTACAATGTCATCATCATCCTCACAGCACACTAAAACCTCTTGATTTTCAATAATTTTTTATATTATGATACACTCTATAGGCAACACAGGTGATAGCTAATTGCTGTTTCCTGGCTGTTTATTTTTTCTTCAATGTGAAGACTTACTGTTATCAAATTTTGCAAGTGTTCAGACATACATCATCATGATTACTGTTTCCAGGAAAAAAGAAACAAGCAGCTAATTCATCCAATTTGTTTTGTTTATACTAGTGCAGAACCTTTCATGAGGTTAAATGAGGTTTAAAGCATTCCAGCCCTTTCATTTTAACTCTTTAAATACTTCTCACTAAAAAAGAAGGACTACACTTTTATAGTTTCTGTAAACATGTGGTCTTGGTTGGAGGAGACAGAAGTATGTTCTACAAGAGTTAATTCTGGCTGTTGTCACATGCCATTATGTGCACTACTTTTAAACCTACATTCTTGTTTGTTTTCCCACAAACTGACCACCTGCCTCCCACAAAAAGGGCAGATGGGTGAAATGTCAGAGGTCCCAAAGTTTGAGAACTTTTTGAAAATTCTGTAATACACCTGTTTCCATGAGGTGACGGTGAGCAGTTTAATTTTTCATATCCGGAGCTGCCCGTGTTCCCCCAAAGCAGGGGGTCTAAGCCAGGCACAAAAATTGGAAGAAAGGTTGGAGTCAGACAAGGGCATTACAAAGATGCTTCCTTTCCTTCACCCCACACAGAAGCACAAAGCCAGAACATGTCAGCCCTCTGCGGCCAAGGCAGACACATACTTACAGTAGGGAGAGAAGAGAAATTCTGGACTAAATTAACTTTTTCAAGTTGTGAAACTACATTTGGCAAGACTTTTAAATTATTGACATATGTCTGTTCTAGTGATTGAAAAAGAACCTACATTTATTATATGAAAATCACCACCCAAAAGGATAAGTAATTTGTCTGAAATATCTTCCAGAGGCCAGGAAGGTATTCACCAGACTCATTTGAACAGAGAATGACGGATAAAATAAATTTTTTGCTACCTAGTCCATCTTATGTAATCAACCAGGTGGAATAAAAGTGATTTGCAAGTGCAGTCAGAAGAATGTGGTTAGTTAGGCTAACTTATCCAAGGCTTTCCTTATATTCCTGCAATATTACCTAAAAATTAAATTATTTTCATATCATAGTGTTTATACTCAACTTTCCACTCCATCACTAATGTACTTGGACCAATCTGCTTTGTTTCCTGCACAAAGTTGGAGTTACTCTCCATCAGCTCCCCTGAAGCACAAAGAGCCTTTAAAGGCAATGGTAAGATGGAGAATCTGGGCCATAGTGACACATTCAGGTCTGGCTGAGGTGGAGACTGACTTTCAGACTAGCATGAAGAAGATACTTGTAGAGATGGCCTAAAAACGTCACAAAACTCTTTTCACAAAGGAGGTTGCTTGTGTAACATGTTAAACGCAGTGGTAAGAGGACCATATACCACTAGATTATTGGTCTGAAAAGAGTTCCAGACTAACTCAATGAAGATAACAGAAAACAAGGCAGAGTTCTCCACATATGTGATATCATCCTAGACATGGTAATTGTTAATAATCTTCAAATTGACCATCTAGGACTGACAAGATTGTTCAGCAGTTAAAAGCGCCTACTATGCAATTCAGATGATCCAAGTTCAATATGTGGGACCTAGATTAGAAGAGAATTGACTCCTAAAACTTATCCCACCCTCTCAGTCTCCTTGCTGCACTAGAATTTTATAGAAATAAAAGAGTGCAGTGGGTTTCTGTGTAGATGGTGTAGAGCCATACCTACAACAAAGACTGTATTAAGATGGTTTTGGAAGAGGTAAAGCATGGAAAGGTACTCTTTCCTCTAATTTATTTCCAACAGAGGAGGGGTGAGTTCCATTCTTGGAGACTGAATTTCTCAGGAACCACTGAAAGAAAGATTAATGCAGGTATTCTGTGTGAGCAGCATCAACAACAATTTCAAATGAGCAGAGATTTATCCACCATAAAGGCATTTGTTGAGCCAAAGCCTGTGCTGACAGAGGTAGTAGTCTGGCTAGCTAGGCTCCTATCTGGCTCATCAACCTTCTGTATGACTTTGATTTTGCTATTTAACCTCTTTGTGCATCAGTATTCTTTCCTGTGAAGTGGGTTGTAATAATACTTCAAGTTTGTGCTATTGGCAGAAAGAAACGAAGCAATGTATTTATAGTTTAGAATAATCTCAGGCATACTGGGAGAGCACAACAAATATCAGTGTCACTGTTCAGCTATCTGACACAGCCGTGTCAGTGGGAAAAAATGGTTAGATAATTGCTGGGAGAAACCTGGGAGGCACTTGTGTGACAGTATTCTAAAAGCCTTCTTTTCTCCTCCGTATTTAGTCAGGCTACAATGGTAAGCCTTCTGTCACAGGACTCTCCATTTCTACAATGCCTTGTTGAGACTGTCATCGACTTAGGTCATCTTAAATCAACATCGCCGGGTCTTTAGGCTGCCTGCTCTTGCAGTTCCCATCCACTACTCACAGAGCTTCCCCTTTCGTTTTCCTCACACACTAAGAAGCCACATTGACTACTGGCATCGAGATCAGTGTAAATCCACAGCCCACTGGTTTACCTTACCTTGCCTGGCCTCACCTCACCTGGCTCCTTAGCACCTCTCTCCACAACAGTGCTTATGATGTCCCCTGCTTCTCTTCTCACAGATAGGTTCAACTTATTTACAGCTGTACTTAAGATGACAATTTTAGTTTTGGGGCCTGGTTAATTTTGGTGTATAACTTTTAAATAAGTAATAAACTATTTAGATAATACAATTTTTAAAAATTAAAAAGGATAATAATTTGAAGACCCATTTTGCATCTTTCTTCCAGTTGAGCCCATCCTTCATTCCAGACTCTGCATGCAGATGTCCCCAACCCTACTTATGTGCTCAGCATAGCACTCTGAGTATTGCTGTCATAGTTGGTTGTGGTGGTGGTAGTCATGGCGCTGGAGGGATGCAGCCCAGGGATCTGCATATGTCCATCGAGCATTCCACCTATAAGCAACAGCCTAGCACTATCTGCCTTGTCCCTTTCCCTCATCTATATATGGATGATGACGGTAGAAACTAATGCGGTTGCCATCACACCCAAGTCACCAACATCTTTGCCTCCTTTCAACTCTCTCTGGGACTCTCTTGCTTTAGAACCCAGTGTTCTGACCTGCTGTTTTCTGTGCATAGTCCTTCTTATATTACCCAATAGTACATCTCCCAAATCGGGTTTCCATCCATTTCTGACATATTTATGTGTAAGTCTCTAGCTTTGCTGCACCCCTGGACACTCATTCCTCTGCCCTCTGTCTCTCATACATGACCATCTACGTTTTTCAGACCAAATGTTACCACATGAGGAATACGCCAAGGTCTGAACTCACATTTTGCTCAGGGTGTCCAGAGTAGGAAATAAGACTGTGAGAACCAGATAAGTTACTGATGTGAGCTCCCTATCAAAATCAATGTCATTGGGTTAGAGGGTTGGGTGTAGACATAAAAACAGAAGGCACAGCAGAGAGATGAGAAATCAAGACAAGACTTGTGCTGTGCTATAAGTTCTGTGCAATAGAGGCACTGTCTGAGTCCCCTATCACTGAATGTGGCACCTCAAAAATCCCCCATATATTTGTAGGTACTCTGTGTTGTCTCTAGAATGAATAAATGTCTTGACGATGACCTCAGCCTGGGTTGGTGCTTCTATGGCTCGCTGTTTTACATGACATAACTAGAAGTCATTTTCTAGCCCATGAATTGAAAGGACCAGAGAGAACACTCTTCTGAGGGCAATGAGAGCTATACATCTCTGCTGTCTCACCCTCAGTTTGCCAGGTATCTCTGAGTGCTACAGTCGGGCTTTAACTGTCTGTCAGTTTCCCATCTTTTCTTGGAATGACACGGAGAAGGCAGTTGGGGACGCAGAATACGTTAATGGGCTCTCATGGAGTTGGAGGAGCTTCTCTGGGTTGCTCTTGCAGTTTGAGCTATGAAGTTCTTCTTCTGGAATTGAAGAGTATTGGACCCAAGACCCCCTCACCTCGTTTATTTGAAAAATCACCTTTCATTTAACACAAGAGTGAGTGAGGAGTGAATGCTTGCAGGCAGATATGGAGCTTGGTAAAGCTGATTGAATTGCATGTCTCCTTATATCTTAGAGTTGAGAGTGAAACACAGGCTTCTGAAGTTGATTTCTGTGTCATGCTCCATCCGGATTCCTTTCTTGAGAGACCTCCAAAGGTGGCTCCCACCAGATTCTGAGTCAGCAATGATGAGATTTTTACAATGACCCTCTAGGTTGCTAAGATTAAATGGGGGTTTCTCTATAGCAATCCAATGACCAGGCCGGTCAAATAAGTTTAATTTAGGGATGTTTGCTAGCTATTGATTTAAACACAGCCTCTTTGGCATATAACAATCAGGCAGAAAACTGTTTCAGACATAATCCGTAGTTGCAATCTTGATGAGCTCTCAATTGAATTTTGTAAAGCAAAAGATATTCATCTTAATTATACCCAAGTCTGATCTAAAGCCAGGTCTCTCAGACTCAGCACACTTAACATTTTGAACTAAATGTGGTTTGGTGATGAGAGCTGTGTGATCCTGTGTTATGTAATGTTTGGGAGAAGCCTTCCCTTTTACTCAGTGGATGCTGGTGGCACCTCCCTACCTCACTGGGACAACCCCAGATCTTTCTGAACACTACCAGATGTCCCCTCATTGTGGGTAGGGAGGGTACCTTACTTTAATGAGGGCCTGGGTTCTCCAGAAGGTTGTCAGTCATGCCACCTTACTGGAGAACCCTGCTTTCCCCACACCACACGTACATAGCATACAAATGAGTTTACTCTGCCTTCTCTGTTAAATTGGAATCTCTCCATTTTCTGTTTTATATTTCTTTACAGGTATGCGGTATTTGCTCAAATGTAAGCACTTAACATGTTGGCTAACTCCACAAATAATTCAACATAAGGAATTATTGTCAGCAAGTAAATGACATGAGAGTATTTTTCTGTTTTGTTTATTGCCACTTTTCCAGCATCTAGAATAATATGTGATACTAGTAATGATTGTTGAATGAGTTGTTACTTTTATTTTCTTCTTTAAAATACATTTTAAATTAAAATGTAATTATGTTCTTCTAAAAAAATCTGATCAGTGAGGACCTGTCTGATTTCTTAAGATATTATCTTAGTTATTAGGGTTTTATTGCTGTGAAGAGACCATGCCCACCGCAACTCTTATAGAGGAAAATTTTATTTGGGGTGGTTTACATTTTCAGAGTTTAGTGCCATTATCATTAAGATGCGACATGGCATGGCAGTGTGCAGGCAGACATGGTGCTGGAGGAGGAGCTGAGTGTCCTACATTTAGACTTGCAGACAACAGGAAATGGTCTGTCTTAGTGAGTGTGGCTTTCGCACATATGAAACCTCAAAGCCTGCCTCTACAGTGACACATTTCCTCCAACAAGACCACACCTACTCCAACAAGGTCACACATCCTAACATGCCACTCCCTTTAGGGGACATTTTCTTTCAAACCACCATAGAAATTATTTAAATTGTGGTTATGTTGGACTCAATATTCTCTTTAGTCTGTTTTTTCCAGTCTCCTTTTCTTCTCTGATACATGATGCTGTCTCCTTGAACAAGCTTATATACTGATACTTTGCCAAGTGATCACAAACATAACTACTCAGGTCAGTTTCTTTAAGATATTTTTCAAGGTCTTCATCTAGCAAAATGGATGTGGTATACACAAGATCTCTCTCTTTCTCTCCTCTTTATCTCTTTTCCCTTAAAAACAGTTTTGATCACCTGAACCCATAATAACTTTAAGCATGGAAATTCCTGACCCACCCTCCCTGGATATTTCCATTCCACAGAATATGCCCCCTGCTTTAACTCTGAATTATTATGGTCATATGTGTATGTCATCTCTCTCATGTAGACTTCAAAACTTTTTGAAGACAGAAAAAAATTGCCATTATTTTTAACACCATAGGATTATTACATATAATATTATATGCTTATAATATTATAGATGTTAAACGACATCTCAAAGTACAATATTCTATCAATTATTTTATTTGTTGAGCTATTCAATTAATATTTATGATCACTGACACATACTACCTAGGTGTTAGAAGACAAAATAAATATAGTCTGGTCTCTTTAAGTGTCTAGACTGGTTGGGAAAAAGCGTTATCTAATGTGATACGAACTAGATTCAGAGTCAGCAGACTGGTGTAAATACAGTCTCTGTTACCATTAGGTGTTGATCATGTCTCAATGTCCTGTCTGGAATAAGGGAAAGGATATTTGTGTTCTCCATTATGGGTAATAAAGAAGGACAAACAACACTTCATTTAATATGAAAACATTTCAAATGATACAGCATGATGACTTAATGTTTGTTCACAATTCCTGCTCTTTTCGAAAACATTTCAAATGATACAGCATGATGACTTAATGTTTGTTCACAATTCCTGCTCTTTCCTTATAAAGATGGAATCTCAGCCTTTCCCCCCAAGAATACACTTGTTTTTCATGAATAGAATAAAGCAGAGGTGACCTGCAGTGTGGGAGAGAATGGCATTAAAAGAGTGCTTTTCCGGAGCCATTATTTCTTGAAGGACTTTGTTAAGGGGAAGTCGGCAGCCATATTGGATGCAGTCCTAAGGAGAGGCCTATCAGTGAGCACTGAGGTCTCCTGTTTTGAGAACATGTTTGAGTTCAGACACACATTATTCTACTCCAGCCAATCTTTCATATGACTGAAGCTCAGAACAAGGACTCAACCTCACTGCACTAATTAGTATTATCCAGCTAAGCTGCAGATCCCAGAATCATGAATCAATTTGAGGTGTTTTATAATTCACTAAATATCAAAGTAAATTTTCACATAGCAATGTACAAACAATACTTAGGGCACTGCAGTGGTTTAAGATCTTAATATTGTTATTGAGTATGCTGAGGTTTGCTGGGTGAAAATGTCCCAGTCTGTTGTAATTTATTGGTGAAACCATGGTCTTTGAAAGTGCTAGCTTAAAAAAAAAAAGAGGAGAGTGAGGACAAAGAAGAAGGGGGAGATGAAAGGAGCAGTGTTTAAACAGTGTTGTGAAACTCTAAGAGCAGGAAAAAGTCACTGGATGGGAAACTTCTGAGGGGTGATTTGCAGGCATTTCTTACCTGCCATCTGCTTCTCACTTTCTGCAAGGTGATAGTGACTGTAGACAAAATGCAAAAGGCTACCAGCTAACGCATGAGTTCATCCCAGTGGACTACTTCTATTTTGTTCCATTTTCAGGCAAATTGATAGTTTTAATTAAATTTGAAATGAAAGCCATGCTTCTACTCTACATATATTTGAGGTTTTTTTCTTTTCTTTCTTTCTTATTTCTTTTTTTCCTTCTTATTTCTTCTGTTTTAATCAGCAGTCACCATGGATCTCTATAATGTACAAAGGCCATGGACATCAGGATTATGATTCGTTTGCATCAATGCCAACCTCTGAGATACCCCATGATGAATGACTTCACCATAGCAACACTGACAACTGTTAACAATGCCATGTGTAGGAGCCTGGAATTCACAACACTCATTAGCCATTCTGGTGAATTAATTTGAGGCCAGACAAATTTAAACATAAAATGATTAACAATTTTAGGCTCACAGTATCCCCATTTGCAGCCACAATTTTTTAAAATTCCCCAGTGAGAATATGGCTGCAGAGGACTGTCAAATTACTATTCAATAATGAATACGGAATTTAAATTCCTCTCTGAATATTTATCGACTTCAGTTTTCCCATGGCTTCAAGCGTTAGTTCCCTCTTGGAAAGTATGAGATCAATACTTTCAAATATCATAGCAAGGAAGGACATGAATCAAGCAAGTCTACTAGTTTTAGCCACCCTATTAGTTAAAAGATTAGTAGGTAATGTGAATTAAAAGTAATGTGGAAACACTCTTACTTGTAGGAGACACACTGCCATCTGGAAAAGTTTGTGTGCCCAGGGTAGATCCCGTCACACTGGATAGATATTCCATGGGGACAGTCACTGAATCTGAAAGTGTAAGGCAGATACTTATAAAGGATAAACTATTGTAAGAAAAAGATATTAATTCAGCTCTAAACATATTTTATTTATTCATTATCTAGCAAATCAGTACTCAGGACTTGCTATGGACCAGGCAGTGAGATGTACTAATGAGTGGGATAGGTGTGGAGCTGTCTTTTAATTTTCTTTAAACACTTCAAAATGATTTATCCACTCTGTGAGTGTGTGTGTGTGTGTGTGTGTGTGTGTAAATAGGAGCTAAGATATGTTGTTTTACATTCATTTGTCTTCTTTGAACCACCATTATGTGCTTTGTAAATAATTCTACTAAAGAAAATTTTAAAAAATTATTTTATGTACATGGGAGTTTTGCGTGTATTTATGTCTGTGCACCAGGCAGCCACTCCCCGCCCTCCCCATCCCCTGGCTCCAGGATCAGCTGAGGGTATAGGATCCTAGAACTAGAGTCACAGATGCTTGCAGTTCACGATGTGTGTGCTGGAAATCAAACCCAGGTCCTCGGGAGGACCAGCATATCATAACCACTGAGCCATATCTCTTGCCCTTGAATGTTTTATTTTTTTAATTGCAAGTATAAGGAGGATTGCCTGAATTGAGAAAGAATATAGATTAAATGTGGTTAGTTAATTTTTGATCCTGGAAGATTTTGTGTTTTCTAGATATATAGTATCACTGTTTAGGAGAGTCATTAGATTAACAAAATGATCATAACTGTTCTTGCTCACCCTCTACAATTAGCCTGAAGTCTTCAAATGACATCATAATTGGTGCTTTGTCATGCTCCCTACCTTATGTCTTAGTGTTGATTATCACTTTTCTGTCTCTCATGAACCACTCATTCTATCCAAAAGGCAGGTGTTTCAGTCCAAGGATAGTTCACCCAGGAAGGCTTCTTAGTCTTTGTGCTGTTTCCTGACATTTTCTCATTCTCAGGATTCCTCATATGAACCTCTTTAAAACTGGGACCTTCATGATATGCCTCTTTCCCTTGATGTTAATGCTAGCAAGGGTCTTGTCACTTTTATTCATGGGTCATGCCACTCTAAAGAAAAACCAGCTTTGTTCTTCACTGTATTAGCATATATCAACAAATAGAAATGAAGTAGTATATACAAAATTGGTGGAAGACCAACCTTAAATGTTTACCTGACTGCTCTCAGATAGTAAGTGTCCTTCCTAGAACAGTGTGCTGTGAAAGTGAAGTGTGGGGCTGTGTGGTAAATGCTTACATGGTTTTCTCCGTGGAATGATTTTACAGAGGGTGTAAGCCAGTGCATACTGTCACATCGCACCCATTCCTATGCTTATTAATTATTTTGGGATATAATCATATTAATCTCCTTACATGCTGTCCATAGCAGCCTTTGTGCTGTAGTTCTGTGTTGAGTAATTATGACAAATGTAATATCCATAAAACTTAAAATATTTACTCTCTCACCCGTTACAGATATAAGTGCCAATTCCTGGAATTGAAAGTATTGATTATGTTCTGTCCTAGATTTCTACAGTATAAAGCATCCCTTTTTCACAGATGGGCATTTTGTTTTAGAATATCTGCTGTATTTCATAAACAAATGTCTTTGGAAGCTGGGGGCAGGTGTCAACCTTGCAGTACAGTTTGGAGATTTTACTACAAGATTTACACACTGAGGAGATCACTTCACCCCCATGCCCAGATCCACATAGATTTTAGCACAAAATCTGAGCTCATAAACCATCTGTCAGGCTTCAGATTGGACTGAACTAGAAACACTGCCTTGGTCCAAACAGAATTCAGGGCTGTTAAAAAGACATGGCCACAGCATGACAGGGATAAGTGGTTGCCCAACACTCGGGTATAGAACCCAGTAGAGCTGCCTTACACACATTTTAGGTCACTTTGTCTGCTGCAGTGTTTAAAGGGATGGGCTTCCTGCCCTCAGCACCTTCATCCTTTCTGAAGTCACTCTACTGTTGGCTGGGAAGCCTCTCAGAACCTCAGCAGCAGCCATGAGTCTGGCTCACAAGAACAGCTGGGTCAGTCCTGGCGTTTCCTGTGAACAAGTGTTCATCTAAGAAATGAGCCAAATCCCAGGACATGTGAGATCCTTTCTTCTCGGAATAGAGCTCACAGAGGAGTAGGAAAGGTCTCGCTAGAAATGTAGGACTCAGTTCCAGACTCATTGAATTAGGATCTATATTTTAACAAGGTCTCTAGTGATTTGTGTGCATATTAAATTCTCTATTTATGCTTTCAGTATCCATGGGAGGAGACACAAGTATGAATCGTAGCGTATTGCAGGAAGTCACGAGGTAAGAATTATTTGTCTAGAAACTTCCATTAAGGCTAAATTTCCCTCTTCTCTCAGCTATAGGGATATCCTTTTGGCTTTCTCCATACCCCCAAACAATATGTGAGCACACTTATGCATGTAAGAACACAATGATTTATGTTTGGATGGCACCAGAAAAGGAGCTATAGTTTTGGGAAACAGATTTTTGGAAACTCCAAGATTTATTAGCTTTAATATCTGATTGTAAAGACTAAAAGTTCACTTGGTGATTAAAAGTTACCTATTTTCTCATAGTCTAAACTTATACAAGAAGATGGACTTCCCTGTAAAATTTGAAATACAGTGTGTTTGGGGTATGATTGTAAGTATTCCTTTTACCTTAAAAGTTTTCAATATTTTCTGATCTTGAAACAAAGTGTGGGTTTAATATCAGAATACCTTGGTATCGGGAGCACATGGGAATAATACTGTTTAAGAACTGAAGGATTTAGAGTCTTATAGCTCATGGCTTCAGAGTATGCAAGAGCTGAGCTTTGACAAATCTATGAGACATAATAAACCCCATACTGTTCCAAGACTACAGCCGTCCTCATGTGTCATCTTTTGGGAAAGGGCTGTACTCATTCGTCAGGGGCTTGGCTGAAGTTGAGAAAGGTCGTTTTTGTATAAGTCCATCACAGATTTTGAATGAGTGACTCTGAATTCACAGTGATTCTTTTTCATATTTAAATAGATGCACGCAGGTAGAGCTATGGGGGATGTTGCCTTTGACTCTGCATGGAATGACACCTGCTTCTGAGTAGTCGGAAAGGCTTTGTGCTAAGACATATAAGTCCTTCATCTAAAGACCCAGTGACCAAGCACTGTACCTGGTCTTAGAGGCACTGTCAGGGTGCAATGCAAACTATCCTGTATCAATTAGTATGTTTTTATGAATATGTTATAGACATCCTTTGTGAATCTGGGATAACAGTTAAAGAGGGTAATAGTCCTGCAGAGCTATAACAATGACTCACAAATCTTGTTTTGTCTTAATACTACTAAGTATGCACATTTGATAGTCATCTTTATCACCATTTTAATATAGTCATTTCTGCTGTCACCTCATTTTCTGAGACACTTGTCATATTTTATGTAGTAAATGTCAATTATTTTTATGATTCAGGGTAAATTGGGTTGTTCAAATTTTGTAGTAACTGGAGTGGCTGAATTATCATTTTTTGTAGTTATCAAAGTCTCCATGTAGATACTGTGCTTTAAACCATGGTAGTGAAGTTATTATTGCATGCAAGGTTTACCTATTTCTAAATAGTGGAATTATGCATGCTGGGGGCTGGTTAAATCTTTTCATTTTTCTTTTATTCATTTTGGCATTTGTTTATTTGTGCATGTGTGCCTGAGTGCATATGTCATAACACACACGAGAATTGGAGAAAAATGTCTGGAGCCTTTCTGATTCTTCCAGCATGTGGGGCATGAGGATGGGACTCAGTTGTCAGGTTTGCAGCAAGGGGCTTTACCTGCTGAGTCATTCACCAGTCCTAAATAAGTTTATGACTCATGAATTTTAAGGTAGTTCAAATTTCAGTTAATCATAGGTGCTATTACTAATTTGCTTTGGATGATAAATCAACCAGAATGCTAGTTGATTAAACGTTATTGTTAGGCTGGGTTATGGTGACTAATGACTCTAATTTTAGCACTTGGGAGGCTGAAGCAAGTAGATTGCCAGGAATTAAAGATCAGCTTTTACTAGCTACTGAGTTCCAGGCTAGTGTAGACTACAACCTAAAAAACCTATCTTGGAAACAAATAAACAAACAAAAAGAAAATTTAAAAAGTTATTATCACAATAAAAAATTAGTCTTAGAAAATATTTAAAGAAAATTATCCTTGATTTTTACTTGGAGAAAGTATTTTTAGATTCTACTTATAAATTGTTTAATAGTTTGAGATTTAGCAATTTGGGGTTATGTGGAGAGCTGTCTGGTATTGTACTGGTGTGGGAATAATAAAAATCCTATTTTTTCCTGGTAGTCATGTTCTGAGTCGGTGGGACTCTTGGCTAAGCCTTCTTGACTTTGCTCAACAGGCAACTCACCCAAGGATAGCGTGATGGCTTGTGATGAAGTACTCCACATTTTGTTTCTGGGGCCTGGGGACAGAGCCTTACACTGAATTGTCACGTTGTTTGAATGAGCAGGTCTATTACCATGTGTCCTTGTCAAAACCGACTTCAGTTCCTGAAATCCATTTCTGTCATTTTCCTCATCATTTGTAATGAATATTCCTGCAAGATAGATGAAAACATGATTAGGCTCTGACATTTTCTCTACCAGCCAGACAAGGATGCCAGACACAGCACAATAAAATTTGATTTTACTTTACTTTGACATCAGGGTCTCCCTTTGTTGCCAGACCGGCCTTTAACTGGTGGCTCTTACTCATCCTCCCACCCTATCTGTGCAGAGTCTACAGACTTACATTGCACCACACAACTAATTTATGGTATCATAGGCTCTCCAGTACTTAGCCTTTAGCTTCTGAGAAGCAAGGCCAGGTCCAGCCAAGCTGGCATTAACCTGTGACAATTGTTCCAGTTCCTGGATGGCACTGATCTATAATTGGGCTGTAATATTCATTACATGTTTTGTTTCTGACTATGGGTTCAAGGGCTCAGTAGATTATTCCAACTCATCAGTGCCATTTAGTAATGGTCAACTTGGTGATTTGTACTTGAATTGACTTGAACTCTGGGGATGCTCTTCTGTAGACTCTGGTAATGCAGTAAAAATATACACCAACTGTATCAACAGAATATAAAACACCCCCCCATTCTGCTTTGAAATTTCCTAATTTGAGAAAGTGCATCTGGGTATTGTTCTTGTGGAGTGAATTCAGGGAATGTTGTGTGGATTGGACCTCCTCCTTTCTATAAGTCAAGCAAATGATGTGTATTCTAATTCTGATATCATATCATATCCTTTCCCTGAAATAAGCTGTATATTGATACCCATTTTCAGTTCTGGTCCCATGAGCCTTCTCTAAAATCTTTTAACTGTCATTGTTAGAATAATTTCTAAGTGCATGCATTGTAGCAATATATTACTAAAAAAAATCCATCTGTCCCCACAGGCCAGATCATTCTGAACTCTCACAGTTCTGACATTAAAGGTTCTTTGTTCTTTTGAGACTGGGTCTGGAGTATCTCTGTCTGGCCTCAAACTCATTATGTAGACAAATATGACCTTGAACTCTTGATCCCCTTCCTCTGCCTCCCAAGTACAAGGATTGCAGGCCTGTGTCAACATGCCTGGCTCTCATGAAAGGTTCTTCTTGATAATTCCGAAGTTATTATTTAGCGAAGTATTAGCTAAATGCAGTTGAATGCTGGTGGAATTCTAATTACACTGTCCTGCCTCTTGTGTGAGAATGCAATGGGCATGTCCTATCTGGATGCTTTACTTAACAGTGTTTACTTAACAGGGAAATATACTTATCATAACCTTTAACATACACTTTCAGAATTGTGTTGTGCTGTGGTTGGAGTGAACTGCTTTTAAAGTGAACTCATTAACCAGTAAATGATCATCAAGGGATCTATAAAATCACCTACCAGCAGCTGTTAATTTTAGAAATTAAAAGAGATAGTTGAGCAAGAGCTTTGTGACTCAGCTATTGTTCCATGTGTTGCAACAGCCAGGGGAAGGTCTGCTGTCCTGGCACAGATGCCCGAGCTTACTCTGGCAGTGCTGCCATGGTTACCACCTATGAGATATACTACTTTGTACTGAAATGGCCTCAGTGTGTATTCCTGCCCGAGGAACTTAATCCTCCCAGGAAACTTGTTCCTTGTGAAAGAATCCTATATATCCACCCCTATTGTCACACCCCAAGTCTGCCCCAGATATATTTACAAGACAAAGTGGAAATTATTATCAATGGATTTAAAGCAGTGGTGCCAAAAAATTGAATGTAATATATTAAAATAATAAGGCATCACAAATAGCAATGCTACAAAATCAGAGATCTTATTATTAACTACATGTTTATTTGACTGCTTTTCTCTTCATACGGGATATTTGCTTTTATGAACAACAATTAAATTGTATGTACTGTCTGAAAAAATCAAGTGTACCACTTTCATTCTGGGAAGTGTTGCCTTCTACCCCATTGGAGGAATCAGATGAAGTATCAGAAAGTGACACCTGGTAGGTCAGATGATGGTCTTCTTAGAGCAAGAATTACTTCGCAATGCTAAGGTCAACTTGGGCACCAAGGCTTTCTAATGCTTGGCATTGCCAAGCCCATTCCCATAGCTTTGTTTCCTCACCTTCTTCGTCACCTTGAAGAAACTTTCCATCTATTAACCAAGTGATATTTGCTCTGGGGAAGACATTCTTCAGTAGGCAGGTAAATGCTCTCTACAACAGATAGAAAGGCAATTTGCAAATTGGAAGAAATTCTTGCTCCCTGTGTTTCCACTAATATGAGACAACTTAGCAAGAAATGATTTTCCTTACCTTTAATTGTGTACAGGCCACACAGGGGTTATTGCCTTTAGGGACCTTGGCAAATTTGTGGCTAGAACCCTAGAACAGTTTAGGAGTGTTAAGACTATACTAATGTTGCATGAGATTTATGGATTCTGAGAAATAGAACTTTTACTAAGCTAGAAATCAAAGAGTAGAAGGAAGAAGTCACAGAGTCAGGGAAGAATGTGGGTAGAATAAAAGTGAAATGGGATTGAGATATTATGTTTTATTTCCCAAATAGTTTGAAACACTATCTCTAGTCATGGTCATAGAAATGACTTTAAGTACATATATCATTTTGGGGGTTTTACATTTTTCATAATCCTCTTTGTTTTTCATCTTGATTATTGTATGCTTCCTTTTGTAGGTGACAAATAGGAAAAAATCAAGGTCTTATGGAAGAAATTAGAAGCAATTAACAGGACTTCAGCCCAACAGATTTCTTGGCAAAACATTTTTGTTTGAATGGGAGGATGGGTAGCATAATGGTTTGAATGAGAATGGCCTTCACAGGCTCATATATTTGAATGTTTGGTTTTCAGTTGGTGGACTATTTAGGAAGGATTAGGAGGTGTGGCCTTGTGGGAGGAGGTGTGTTGGTACAGGTGGGCTTTAAGTTTTCAAAAGCCCACGCCAGGCCTAGTCTTGCTCTCTGTGCTGCATGTGGATAAGATTTAAGCTCTCAGCCACTGCTCCAGTGTCATGCCTGGCTGCATCCTACCATGATTGTCATGGACTCATGCTCTGAACTGTAAACAAGCCCCCAATTAAATTAGGTATTTTGTGTTTTCTTGTCCATGGTGTGTCTTCACAGCAATAGAACAGTAATGAAGATAGATAACAACTATATAAAAGCAGAGAAATATATTCAGGATCAATTAGATCTTATTTTCAATACATTTCAATTCTTTGGAAAATGTAGATTTTACTCCATAGCATGTAAACATAACCAGTGACATTTATTAGTTCTCATTATCATATCTGATGCTCTATAAAATTATAATTCAACTTCTAACTCTCTATTTTCTTACTACCAGTGTGTGAATTCTGCATAATGCCTGGTCCTTGTTTTTGGTACCTAAATGTTTCCCACAATTGTTGAATATAACAGTAATTAACTGGTAAAGAACAGTGAGCTGAATGTAATGCTTGTGTATCAATCTGCAACTATCACTTTCAAATAACCCAAACTTCTAAAGCTGTGACTCCAAACTCAAGGGTACTAGAAACATTTTTATTTATGGTAAAATCCTCCTTATGTGCAGTTTCCTGTCCCCCAGTGCATTGCAGTTAATGAGAAAAAAAAACCTTCCAAAGGTTTCACTATTGTATCTAGGATAGCAGGTGGCAAATACTGTAGCTCTCAGTGTTTGTACTCTTTTAACATTTGTTTCATTTTTAGACAATATGGATACATACATCTGACAGGATGTAGGAAATTATGGGGATTTTCTTAACTTAAATCATCCCATCTAACTTTTGCTCCTCGGCTTTTACTCTATTCTATATACCTTTCTTTGTTGCTCTGTGGCAGGTTGCGTGGCTGTGTAGCTGGACCCCGGTGTTCTCCTCCTCTTCTTTTCTCACTCCTTCCTATTTTTCTCATTCTTCTTCTATTTATTCTCTCCACCTGGTAGCCCCTTCCTATTTCTTTGTCCTCACTAGCTATTGGCAGTTCAACTATTTATTAGACCAATCAGATGTTTTACCCAGGCAAAGTAACACAGATTTACAAAGCTAAACAAATGCAGCATAAAAGAATGCAACACATCTTTGCATCATCAAACAAGTATTGCACAGCATAAATAAATGTAACACATCTTAAACTAATATTCCACATCAGGAAAGGGTTTAAATCGTCTTACAGCTTTCTGTTCAAATAGCAAAGCCAGGGCAGGAACATTAAGAAAGGAGTTTAAGGCGGGAACCTGAAGGCAGAAACTACCTTCAGACTCTGTCTTCCAGTATTTGGTTCAAGAATATGGGTCTTATTTTAAAATACCTCTGATCTCTAAGGCTGAAATGCCAGAGGGCATAATAGTTCAATCTTAGGTCAAATGCTTCAGGAATATCAAGCACATATGTTATTGCTGAGGTAGTTGTGTTGCCTTCATTTAGGACCTGGCTTAAATGAGCAAGAAGAGAATGTTAAATCCGAAAGAAAAATGAAGACAATATGTATAGTAGTGTAAATGCACACAAAGATGGTTTTCATGGGCAGGAAAGGTATGGGCCTGGATTGTACTGGAGGTGTCTGTTGAAAAGTGTCGAGGAATCCAAACCTGGATAGCTAAGATGTGCTCTTTTGCCAAGAGGAACAAATATAAGTTGGAGATATTGTCCTGGAATCTGGGAGATGTTGGTAGATGAGAGCAAGCTGAGGTTGACAAGAAAAAAGAATACAGGTCTCACTGTATATATGACTGTGTATGTACATAAGGATACATATGCCTGCTCATTTTGGTTCTTTTGTTTTGCTTTGGTTTTTGTAGCTGGGCTTACAGTTCAAATGAACTCAGCCCCACCTCCTCCATGTTGCATTTAACCATCTCTTTGTGATTCATTACTAGACTACACCTCCACAGGGCTCTTATCAACCATTCAAGAAGTATTTGTCTGCAATAGCACAGAATAGCACTGGGCTGGAATTTCCCCAATTCTCTCCTCACCTTGAAGACTGATGATGTAAGATGTTCAAGTTATACAAGAGCATGATGGGCTCATGACTATATGCAAAACTCATAGATTGCAAACAATCTCCAGGTTCTGCAATATGTGCTAGTTAGATGTCTGGGACTCATCAGTTATTTAAAAGGATTTTCAGCAATTAAGGTATTTAAAAAATGGTATGAAACACACCAAGTTAAGAAGGTCTTTCAGGATGCAGCCCATCACCATCTTTTTGGCTTTAAATCTTTTTCCTTGCTCCATTAATACCATCTTTTGTGAGAGGTGAGTTGACAGGCTAAGTAACAATTCTTCATGTAGAAGAAATACTGAATTATCCCTGGTTACCATACCCGTACTGGGACAACAGCTTTCTTGATGGATTTTTTATTTTGGGGGGATAAATTTGAACACATCAAGGTCTTAATCTATAAACAAAGAAAGGTACTGGTCACTGACCCGTCTCTGCCCCGCTATGTGTTTCTGCATCTAACTTTTCCTTTTTGTGTCACTGTCCCTTCCAGTTACTGCAGATCCCAGGAGACAGTGCTGATTGAAAGGTATCTTTCTGAGAAGGGATTGAGCATCAGTGAGCCTCGAAGGATGAGGGTGATTCTAAAGATGATAGGATGCACTCTGTAAGCAGAGTCAACATCTCATGGGAACCTAATTATTCCTTTCATTTAACAACAGGGATGGGACATTTCCAGACCCCTTTGCAAGACCCAGAGCTGAGTAAGTCATCAACTGCATCACACTGTGACCCAAATTGCTGCATTGTTCATGCCCTCACTTTCTGCCTCAGTTCTCTCTGTGATTAAACAGAGAGCTCGCATCAGTACTCTGAAGATACACTCTGGGTTCTTCCCATTGTGGCTCTGTTGATTATATCATTTATCTGTCACCAGTACCCCTCTTTATTTAATTGGTATATTGGGATAGGTACTCCCAGTCTGTTGGGAGTCCCCGGGTCTGTGCTTTTGTACCCTAAAACTACCATAAAAGAAAAGGAATTAAAAAATGTTTCCCAAGTTTTCAAAAACAGCTCTTAATCACATTTGACAAGCTTTCTCTACTCACACCACCTGGGTTGGAAATGTAACTTTTGGCCTCTACATAATTCGCAATCTAACATTTCTCCTATTTTATGGTGTAAACTTTTCTCCCTGTGGACATTGTCTTTAAAACTGTTCCTGTCTCCTCTTGGTAAGTTTTGCCTCCCAAATTTGAATACAAATGTGAGTATATATTTTCCATAAGTGGCAATTATCTTTCGGAGAATACAAGCCAAGAGTACTTCAGCTTTCCCAACTCTAGTTACATAATGTAATAAAAGCATTCCAAAACCCATATCTTAATTTGGCATCATTCTTTGAATTTCCAGTTTTCTTTCACTTAATATCCTCCTTTCTGTGAGGTCTTTGGCTTTTCTGTTGACCACATACATAGCAGCCATAGATTTAAGCTAAATATAAAACTTCATTATCTGACAATGGGTAAGGCACTTGAAATCGCAGGGCTCTTTGCATTTGGGGTAAAATGTATTTCATTCTCCCCACTTTGCCTTACATTGTTCTTTATTTGAGAGGGTAGATACCCATGCAGGAGGAAAATCAACAGTTGAGGTTCCTCCCTCTTCCAGGAGGTCCTTGAGTGCTGGTGTGTTTTTTTTTAGAATACCCTAACTCAAATGCAAAACTAGTGCCTACCTCCTAAACCACCAGAGAATGTGTCTACCTGACCAGATCACCTTCAGAGGGTCAGAGAATGCAGTAGGACAGTAGTGTTTGCAAACATGCTGGTGGTGATCTGAGGTGATACAAAAGTTATTCTGTGTGATCCAAGGACAGAAGGACTAAGAGCCTTCTGTCTGAGCTGTCTGGACTTTTGCAAGAATCTCTTTATCTTCTGGCTGGAAGGCTTTGTGTTATTATTACATTAAAGCTATTTCATATATGTAACCTTTCTACATCTTGTGAGATTTTTGACAACCTAACCAAATGAGTTAATATATGATTAGGACAGAGAAAATAAAATACTTCTCAGCTCACTGGGTTTAAAAATTAAGAATAAGAAACTGTGGGTTTGCAGTATGGGTCAAATGTTAAAAACAGCAGCTGGAGAAACCTGATGATCTGAGTGCCATGCCTAGAACTTACCGTGCAAGGGGAATGTCAAGCCCTGAAATTGTCCTCTGATCTCCACGTGTACACCATGGTACATTTGTGCCTGCACCGACACATACATCACACATACACTATAACACAGTAATTAAAATAAAGACATTAAAGAATAAAAATACTATAATTGGCTCACACATACTTAAAAATGTAATATAACTCCACGTTAAGGTATAAGGGAAAAAGAGTGGGTAAATGTGAGTCAGGTGAAACTCAGAGAGATAAAGAAGAGAGGCAGTATAAGGGGAAATGTAGACGAGAGAGAAAATTAAACAGAAAGAAGTGTACAGAGGGAAGAACATTGGTGCTCTAAGAAAGTTCCATGATGGATAAAGAAAAGAGATCGTGATTGCCAGGGTAACCAAAGGAAAGATGACATGTCTGTAGATCCTAAAAGCACAATTTTTAATGCTTTGACTTCATTTCATAACCAGACACTCATTTGTGAAGTAGGTTTTAGATTTTCGTTGCACCTCTAAAATATGAGCTGCTTGGACATCCATTGTTCTCTGATATTTTATTGAAAGGCACATCTTTAAATGTTCAGAGATGCTCTGAGAAAAAACAAAAGACTCTAATAGCCCACATGGGTTGCTAAGGCTATGTCTGAAATATTAACTGAGGGAAAGAATAAAATCAAACTGGATGCAGTCATGGACTCTGTGCTGGGTCTGCCTGTTGTTGAGATGGATTCTCCAGCACTTTCTTCTTTCCCCCTGTTAATGAGTTGGTTAATCCTCCTTGTCTACTCAGAAGGATTCCAAATCTCATAGGAAGCACACCTTGGCTGATCTCAAAGGGGATTTCTAAGAGATTTAACTGAAGAGGGAGACGTCCTGAATGTGGATAACACCATCTGGACTAAGGTCCAGAATGAGTGAAAAGAGAAAAAGGAACCGTGCTCATATCTGCAATCCCTGCACTCTGGAGGTAGAGGCAGGAGGATGGCAAGCTTAAGGTCATCTGTGACTACATAGTGGGGTTGAGGCTAGCTTGACTTATTTGAGACCCAAGAGAGACAGGGAGAGGGACAAACTGAGCCCCAACATTCATCTTTCTCACTGAGGACACAGTGTGGCCAGCCACATGACACTCCTGCAGTCATGGTTTTCTGTGACAATGACTGCATGCCCCTCTTAAATGGGGATATAGTCCTCTTTTAAGCTGCTTCTGTCAGATATTTTGTTAGTCACCAGAAAGTGGCTAATACCAGCAGAGCAGAGTACAGACAAGAGGGGAAGACAGTGGCTCCTAGTCTTAATGATGAGCAGGCGTTCTAGCATCAACCTTCCTGAAAGCAATGGAGACCTTGACTTCCAAGGTCTCACATGGCTCACTCTTACTGACTCGTCAGGCAGTGAAGATAATGAGGTCTGCCTTCTCAGTAAGCAATCAGTGGAACACACAGAAGTCTAAACACCAGACTTGCAGAAACTCGGGCTACACGGCAGCTCTATGATACTCATTTGTTTTCTCTTAAAAAAGAAATAAAAGAAACTTTCCTTCCTATATTGTTTCTCCACATGGTTAAGCTCCACTTTCAGGGTTGTGTTTGTCTGTCGGGGCTGACACCTAAGGTGTTCAACAGTGCAGGTGATGATGCCTACAGGGAGTCATAAGCCCAGACACTTGGAGCCAGAGCCATTTATTTGTGTCACAAAAAGAGGTTGTCACACCTGGTCTCTCAAAAACAAACAAATGAATAAAAAACATGCAAGAGACTGAACAAAGTTGAGGAATGCATAAAGGTTTGCAAAACTCAAACTAAATAAACACACGTAATTGAAATCTGTAAAACACCACCATAGTTCTGATAAATTCAGACCCTAACTGCTACATTCATTTTATATTTTGGGTTATGGTATGTTTCTGTTTATTAATGTAGATTTTCTTCCTCTCTAGACATCATAACCTTAAACCTTGTTTGTTTCCTGTGTTTTGTGTTTGGTCATTTGCTTTAGACAGTATTTTTCTATACTCTATTAAAATAATAAAAGAATGGAATGACAAGGAGAGGGCCCAGGGAGGCCACCAGGTTAAAGCTAAAAGCACAAACATAAGGAGAGTTTCTAACCCGGTCTTGGAGCAGAGGCTTTAGGAGGTGTGATGTGATGGCAGGGATAATATAGTTATTAGCCTAAAGTTTCAGAGATTAGCACTCTGTGGTTAACTACTAGATGTGGGTATTGAACTCATAACAGTTAGATTGTACCTCCATGTGCCTACTGTTTGACCAAGGAGGCCTTTCTTCTCATTGCCCCAGCTTCCCTGGTTCTATGTTACATGCACTTCAGACAGTTATTCAGCCAAATGTTCAGGACTTCCTGGCTTTAATTTCTCACTTATAAAATAACAAATGCTCTATTTGGGAGGCTGGTTGAAAGCAAAATAAAATAAAAGGATGTTAAGATGCTTAGAAGAGCAGTCCTAAGAATATTAGAGTGAAGGACTGATAATGTTGGGCAAGATTTTCAAGAACCTCCAGGACATCCATGGTTACGTGGGAGTGGAGATAGATGAATATTCACTGATTTCTCATGGAATAATGCATGTTCCTTTGTTTCCCTAGTCAGCATTGAGGCATGCACGGGTACTGAAGAAGACATTTTGTGGCTTATAGAATTCAAAGGCAAGTACTCCTCTCTTTTTCATTTTCAACTGGGATTCTTGGATCTGATGTTATTGTTTTATATCTGCACTGAGGTCATCTTCTTTAGAAACACTGGCACCAAGAATCTGCAAAGGGTCCTAAGAAGATGGTAGGTCTACCATTGTTGAATTATTAGTTTTGTTTAAATCACTAAAATGAATGAAGTGCACCAATAAACTTGGGGCTTAGTTGGAACAGAAGATAAATGACTACATCTGTCTTTATTGTATTAAAAATTATAATACCAATGAATATACACATATACTTGGATAATAGATGTCTAGGGTCATCCAGAATCACCCCACAGACTTTGAGCCATAATTTATGTGCAGTTATGGAATGACATAACTAATATCCAGCAGGATCAAAATATTCATGGGGTGAGAAGCAGCTAAATATAATTTCTCCATACCACAAACAGTAAACACATGAGAATATTTATTTTATGTGGAGTTTTGAAAAGCTTAGGTGAAGTCATAGGCCACAAGACAGCAAATTAAAACTGATAATCGTGTTTCAGGGTGTGGCCACACACATCTCTAATCCCATTAAGGGGCAGAGGCAGTTGAAGGCCAGTTTGGTTTACAAAGTGCGTTCCACAGCAGCAAGGGCTACACAGAGAAAATGTGTATTGAAAAACCAAACAAAGCTAAACAAAAAACAGGAATAGCAAGGATATCAGCCACAATATTTATTGACTGTTTGAACCACAGCACATAGTCTTTTGAGAAGTACTCATACGTTGACTTCAATATTAAAACCACAACAAGCAGATATTATTATTGGATATGGCATATAAATGGAGAACTAGCTATAGAGACATAAAGTAATTTGTTCTAGGCCACAGCCAGCTAGGAAGTGTGTCCTGGAGGCTGAGAACTGTTCTGAAGGGAGTGAACTCAGAGCATCCTGTTCTACTTTCCCTTTTCTCCTGACCTTCCTCTTGTTGCCAGGGAAACAGCTGGGTTTGGTCGGAGGGCAGGAGGGTACCATGCCTCTTCTCAAAGCAATGGGAAAGCCAGCTCCAAGGACAACAAATTAAACATCAGCTGAGCAGAAATCTTTCTTCTACCAGGATTCACACTGCTTTCTGTCCTACTTTCCCTAAGTTTTTTTTTTTTTATCACAGACATCTAAACAATTGAAATACCCCCACACCCAAAGAAAGTAAGGCCTAAGGGTGCAGCTCACACCTTCGGAGAGCAGTAAGTCAAAGCAAGGCTTTCTATTCCGTTTCCAGAACCACCCCAGCTCCCAGCTTGCCTTCCTTCACAGCAGCAGTTAACTGGCTAAGGACCAAGGAATAAGGCCTTTTGAAGGAATGTTCCCGGCAATTATGCAGCCTGACACAGCTCGGCCTGTAACATAATAGGTGTTTAAAGCACTTGGGGTGACTCACCTGTCCTAAGCCATCCATGGTGCTGTTTTCCACAATCAGGAGGATTTCTGGCTTAGCTTAAAGATTAAATAAAACACAGTTAGTGGCATTGGAATCTATACTACTTGTGTGTGTGTGTGTGTGTGTGTGTGTGTGTGTGTGTGTGTGTGTGTGTGGTGTTGACATTTAGGTGTGTGTTTGTGGCTTATGAGATTCATTATTCATTTGCAGCTATTTAATAAGCACTCATGGATTGCTCAGCAGTGTGCTAGATGGATAAGAAACAAAGAGAGCATCAAATGTGTTGTCTTCAGACAACTTGCATTTTCACAGTCAAAACAGATAAATTAGAAGTTACAATGCACTAATACCAGTATTGAGGGCATGTAGGATTCAAAGAAGGAGAATTTCTGAGCCAGTCTTGGAGCAGAGGCTTCGGGAGGTGTGATGTGATGCCAGGACTAATATAGTGAAAATGGGACTGTGGAGGGGTGGAGCAGGGAGAGACGAAGAGGATCCTAAGCAGCCAAAGGTCAAAGGTCAGTTTCAGGACCATGAAGGGAATCAGGAAAACACTGGATACTTGTTAACTGGCTTGGCACTAGAGAACATTAGGAGATGGCTTTATTGTCATGCTAAATTGGAAGTGTCCCAAAGCCTTCACCTCCAGTGCTGTGCAGAGGACTGAAGCGTGTTCTGAGATTCTCTGTCCCAAGAGTGTAGGGGCTGCTTAGCATGGACCTCTATTCACAGAAGGCTGCTGTTCAATGTACTCATGACTCCTGCTTTAGGGTTCATTGAGACTGTAAGGGAAGCTGGAAGGAGATAATAGATGGGAAGTCAGTGGATAAACATCTGGGCTTTCTTGCTCTTCATTTGACGAGATTGGGCGCGTTCAGGTTGGTATGGCCACAGACTTGCTCTTCATTTGAGACATGAGATGTGTATGCTTTTTTATTTGAATAGGATTCATTTGTACTTATTTATGAGCTTGTGTGTGTGTGTGTGTGTGTGTGTGTGTGTGTGTGTGTGTGTGTGTGTGTATAAGTGCTGGCTCCTGAGTGCCATAGTGTGCCTTTAAACATCAGTAGACAACTTTTGGGAATTGGAACCGCTCTTTCCACCTTGCATTCTGGGGTACAAAATCAAGCCACTGAGTTTGTGCGCATGCGCCTTTTACCACTGAACCATCTCACCAGCCCCTGATGTGTATTTTGTGCTGTAGTTCAGAGTTCTCAGTAAGACTGAACCCTAAACTTGAAGAAGTAACTGGTTTGAGCCTGTGCATTCACTATTGACCTTCCCCTCCTGGCCTCACTTTCCCACCCTGTTCTGTTTTCCAGGATGACCTCTCAGATAAATCATTATTGTTAATATTTTTAATGTCCAAATATAATTTATTTGGGGATACCTTTTAAATTTTACTTTTTGATTGAAGAAACTTTTTTCGTCTAACATATTCTGATCATGTTTTCCTCCTTCAACTTCTCCCAGATCCCACCCATTTAAGTCCACAGGTTTTTTTTCTATCTCTTTAGAAAACAATCAGATGAACAAAACAAATAACCAGAATTAAAAAAAAAACACACATATATGACTACAAAAGCACAAAATCAGAAACTGACATACAAGGAAAAGATCAGTCAGACCAAGAAAAAAAAAAGCCCAAACAAATCAATATGAGACAAAAAGTCTTCAAAGATACCATTGAGTTCATTTTGTATTGGCATCTACTGCTGGGCCTGACGTTAAGCGTGGTTAATATAACCAGTGAGACTGCACGGGAGAACACTAATTTTTCCTTTGCAGTTATCTGCCAGTTGCAGATAGCTTCTTGGATAGGGGTGGGAGCCCTGTCCACTCCTACCTCTCAGCACAGGGCCCTTATCCCAAATAAATTAATTTAACTCAAATTTTTGTTTCAATGTCCTCTACCCTACCCCCTAGGGACTCCAAACCGAGACACAGCCCAGAAGTTGCCATATGAAACAATATCTCTGAACTCTTATAAGAAACAAATAAAAATAGAACGAAGTTCCTGAAAGAACTTAAAAGTCACAGGGGTAGTCAAGAGCCACAATCTGTGAGCTTGAGACAATCCAATTTTCAGGTTCTGAGTAGGGGAGACCAAGCAAAGCCTCCATAGCAGTTGGTGGTGGATGCAAAAGGGAAGGTTACCTCTGCTCCCTGCTGTGCAGAGAGTAAAAAATCAGCCAATGACGGCTTGGGAAGAAGAATTAAGTGGTATAGTGCATGATAGATGGATTGGTGACACATTCAATACTTAACATTTTTTATATTTTCTTTGGTCTTATTTAATGTAGGGAAACACTAGTGGATGAAAAGCAGATTTTATTTATCTTTTTCATTTATTTATTTGACATGCTGCAGCATGGGCTCAAACTTGTAACCCTTGTGAATCAGCCTAAATAATATGCCTATCAGAGGTATAACAAAATCTTAGGAGAACCTACTTTGAAGCCAGCAGCATGTCTATAAACAGTATATTTACTAAAGAATTCCACTAAGCAATGGAAACTTGACTGTAAAATAAACAGGCAGAGTTTCATATTCTAAGCACCACACAAAAGGAGTTTAAAGAAGAGAGGAAAATGTCCAGACAGGGCGTTGTAGATGCAGAGAAGGGGCTAAATGTGGGATGTAAAAGTACACACGCCTTCTAGACCAGCATGAAAAGTCTGAGGGCGGCAAAGGCATGCAGCCATGGTTTGCACGTTGACAAGGCAATTAGATCATGCCATGGCACAAAGATCTTGCCTAACTTAAAATGCATATGTCTTCCCACATCCTGGATGTCTGCCTTCCTTGGCTTGCCAATAGTGTGGCCAAATGAGTCAGTTTGTGCTCGTGCTAAGACAGTCAGACCCTGGAAGGGAACAAACAGAGCTATTGGTACAATAAAAGCAATTCTCAATCTGTTTTGAAGTCTTCATGGGACACTGTCTTGACTTCACAGAGAACTGGTGCTAATGGACCATTATGGTCTACTCCGTCCTCCCAGGAGACACAGGAGAGAAGGGAGACAGAGAAGGAACGTAGGGGGAGAGGGAAGAGAGGGGAAGCCAGTGAGGCACAGGAGAAAGATATACTCATGAAACTCTGCAGCAAGTAAGTCTTGCCTCAGCCTTTTCTGTCTTTATAAATTACTTTGTGTTTTTAATTTCCACTGACCACATTTTCTGACCTCTAATTCGACACAGCCTGTTTCTAAAAAACAACAACAAAAAACCCTTTTATATTTTATTTTGTCTGCTCCATCATTCAGAAAACTGAGGAGCAATCTAGCAGTTCAGGCTCTTAGATTTTATGAAGTGTATATTTCCTCTTTGTTTACCTCATTTTCAAAAACAATTGACTGACCCTCCTCATGGCTGCTTTTTTTCCTTTGCCCTGATGTAGAATGACTTTAAAAACTGCAGGCCATAGTCAAAAAAATGAAAAACTAGCCAATTCAAGGAGCTTCTCCTTAGTAATATTTCCTTGCACCAGGAAACCAAACAGAATGCTCACATTTTTCTCTGCAAATTGTGCCCTGCAGAGTCTACATTGTGAATGGGTGGTGGTGGATTTCACAGTTCAGTGTATGAGGATCAGGTTAGAGAACCAACCCTGCAGGCTTCACTGTTGGAAGCCCCAGTGGACTCTCACCCCAGTAGACCCTTGCAGGATGACAAGGGGCCTCCTGCAGTTGCTCTGGCTGTATTTATCAGCTCCCTTTTCTCAGAGTAACCTTATTGCACTTCGCCTCAGAAAATAACTCAGATAATTAGACGGCCAAACAATTAGATTTTGGCAGTTATAATTAAAGAGATTTCCAGTACCCCTAGGAAACATTATGCCTGCAAACAAGATAGAGGCCATCAGAAAGCTGACCTATATGTGGCTTTCTGGTGTTTTTATTCTATTAGCTGAATAATTATTCTTTAGCCTTCCACCTTTGGTCCCACCCCCAATGACAATGATAGGAATCAAGGAAAACAGAATTGCAGGAGTTACCCTTGTGTGTCTGCTGTCCAGTGTAAAGTGTGTGTGGGGGGGGTTCCTCATAAGGGAAGAGCATGGCCAGAGGAATTGGCAGAGGTTGCAGAGAGGTCACTGAACTCCTTACCGAATACCTTGACTGTAGTGGAGGTCTTCCAGATTTTAAGAGGATTGACTGTCAGGCGGCAAGAGAATGTTTTGCCATCATCTTGGATTTGGACTGGAGAGAGGTGGAGTCCAGAGTCTGCACCCAGCTTGACTCTGCCTTTAAATGATGTGGAATTGCTGATGTGATCATTGTGGGGGAAAAGAACTTCCTGGACTCCATCTTTCTTCTGGAGAGAGAAACAATATTCAGTCTCATAACACAATGTGTGGATGTGCCTCGACTGTTTCTTAGACACTCTTTACTTGTTTTAAACTATGTGCATTTGTGTCTGTGTGTAGATGCAAATGAGTGCAGATGCTTGTGGAACTAGAGCTGGTGTGAAGTGCCCAGTGCGGGTATTGGGAGCTGGACTCAGGTCCTCTGGAAAAGCAACAAGGACTTTAACCACTGAGTCAACTCTTGAGCTTTACAAGTGCTATTTTAACATTAATAAAATAAGAACAATGAAGAATTAAAATGGGGGGATATGGAGTATCGTAGTAGAGAAAGTATTGTTATTCATTCTCACAATTTAATAAAAAATTATGCTCATTTTATACTAACACAAATAGAAACATGTTCTGAACAGACTTAACCACTGTGAGCTTTGCTTTTGGGGCAGGAGAGAGTGCTAATAGCAGATCCCAAGGCTGGTTTAGGAAGTTCAGAGATCTCATTCTTTTTTTTAACTTTTTAAAATTACTTTAATTTTAAATAGCTGGCTTCACATGTCAATGCCAGTACCCTCTCCCTCCCCTCCTCCCGCACCCCCACACCATCCCCCCAAGCCTCCCACCCTATCCCCACTTCCTTCCACATAGGGGATATCCAGAGTCTGTCATTTCACTCAGGGCAGGGTCCAGGCACTCCCCTAAGAGTCCAGGCTGAGAGAGCATCCCTCTTAGTGTTATGAACACACAAAGTCCATTTGTATGCCAGGGATAAACACTGATCTACTGCCCAGGGCCCCATAGGTTGCCCAGGCCTCCTCGCTGACTCTCACACTCAGGGGGTCTGTATCAGTTCCATGCTGGCTGTCAGTCTGGGGTCCAAGAGCTCCCCCTTGTTCAGATCAGCTGTCTCTGCTGGTTTCGCCTGCCCATTCTTTGCCAATTTGCTCATCACTCCTCTCTCTCTGTCACTGGGTTCCATGGGTTCAGTTCAGTGTTTAACTGTGGGTGTTTGGCTGTGCTTCCATCAGTCACTGGATAAAAGCTCTAGGATGGCATATAGGGTAGACGTCAAGTTCATTATCAGGAATGGGCATTTAAGATGGACTCTTCACTATTGCTTAGCTTGCCAGTTGATGTCATCCCTTTAGATCACTAGAGGTCTCACTGGTGCCAGATCTCCCTTCTAACCTATGACTCCCTCTATTATGGTATTTCTCATCCTGTTCTTCCCCTATTTTACCCCCTACTCAACCTTCCTGTTCCCCCATGACCTACTCTCTCTTCATCTTCTCCCCCTCTCTTCTTCCCAGCTCCCACACCCCCCCACCTCTCACCGTGTTCCCAATCTGTTCAGATCTTGCCTCATTCCTCTTCTCTGGGGTACCATGCATATTTCTCGTAGTTTCTTTCCTGTTTCCCAGACTCTCTGTCAGTGGAAGTGCAGACTGGCACTATCCTGATCCATGTCTAAAATCCATATATGAGTGAGTACATACCATGTTTGTCTTTTTGTGACTGGGTTACCTCACTCAGGATGGTTTCCTCTAGTGCCATCCATTTACCTGTGAATTTCAAGATTCCATTGTTTTTTTCTGCTGAGTAGTATTCCATTGTGTAATTGTACCACATTTTCTCTATCCACTCTTCAGTTTAGGGGCATCTAGGTTGCTTCCAGGTTCTGGCTATTACAAATAATGCTGCTATGAACATAGTGGAGCAGATGTCCTTGTTGTATGAATTTGCATCTTTTGGATATATGCTTAAGAGTGAAATTGCTGGGTCTTGTGGTAGGCTGATTCCCATTTTCCTGATGAATCTCCATACTGATTTCCAACAGAGATCTCATTCTCAAAATGTGCTGGGGATACTGGTGGGGTTTTGATGGTTAGTTTTTTACACTGACTTCATGATTCCACGTATCCTCTCTTTCCAGAACTCCCCAAGAAAAGGTCTAATTTAGCCCCTTTCAGATCAGGAGTGGGATGAATGAGAGATGATAGAGCAAAGGATTTAGGGAAGACACATTTCAGAGAATGGCACATGAAGGGAAGGCACCTTCGAGGAAGTGGCCTTCTCAGATTCTGTCCCCTAGGTCCTCCTTGTTGAAGTTCTTCATTGTACTCATGGTCTTGGCCCTTGTTTCTTTTCTTCTGTGGCTGTATTAGCCTCAGAGAGAACTCATGAAAGCAGAACTTTAAATGTTAATGTGACTTTCATTCACTGGCATTTGCTGGGAGAACTTGACTCTTTATTTCATGTCCTGTCCTGGGCTTATGAAGAAAAGTCCCTATTATTCTCTCCCTACTCAAGATTTCCAAAGCAAGCCTGTGGTCACAATGATTGTCAGGTCAGTGTGATGTTGATTAGCCTCCTGGATTGACAGGACCCTTGAGGAGCACAAGGGAGGGTGCTGGTTAAATCCCCTCTCTGTGTTAGTCCAACTCAATCTTCTCAATTAGCTGCTTGGCAACTGTCCATGGCACAAAGTTCCCCTCTAGAGATTCACATTCAATCTGTCTGAGGCCGGGCCTAATCTGGAACAATTTTCAAGTTCCTCAGGGGAGCCAAGGCTGAGAATGACTGGTCTAACCATAACCTTTCCAGATAAATGATTATACACAGGGGAAATTGGAGGAACTAAAGGAGAGAATGGTGAGGAGGAATGCATTAATGATGGGAGGAAAGATTTAAAATAATTAAAGGAACTATTTGTGACTTGGAATCTCTAGCTTAAAGTGTTAGATTTGGGGTAGAAGTAGAATCTAGGTCAGTAAGTGAATTTGGCACAGGAAGACTTATTAGAGTAATTATATAGAAATTTCCAGATAACACTAAATAGCAGTTCTTACATAAACCACATTTCTTTGGCTGAATCTGGCTGATATCCTTACAGTGTCACATACAGATGGAACTCTATGGTTTCTTGCAAAGAATCATAAGCCTTACCCCAAAGCATGGTATGCACCTCTACAGCTTCCTGGACCTGACCTTTAACCTTCCTTCTGAAGAAGAGCAAAGGGAGGATCTAGTCCCAAGATAGGAATGTCCAAGCACCAGATGAATGAAGTGGAAGGCATTTCCCCCAGCATCACAGATCTGAAGGCAATAGGTAAGGAAGCTGGCTCCCCCTGCAGGGCCTACAGCACAAGATACTTCTTATAGACTCTTGTATATGGCCTGGTTTTATAAAGATTTTGTAGTTCAAAATGTCCTTGGAGAGTCTTTAATTGGTGTTGCTTCTAACATTATGAGGAGACACACTTTTCCAGCAAACTCTCTGATCATCTGGTTCTTACACTCTTACAGTCTTTTTGACTGTAATGTTCCCAGAGGTTTCGGTGTGTCAATGTAGATGTGTTCATTGGAACTGGGCTCCACAGCTCTGCATTTTCATTGGTTATTGTTTTATACAATGGTTTCTCTTTTGAAGAGAAGCTCCTTCATGAGGGGTGAGGACTACACTTATCTCTAGGTATAAAGACAAATGATTGCTCACATTAGCTGAACAAGGATGACACTAAGCAGACAGGGGCATGAGAATGGTGCTGCAACCCTACTCAGAGAATTATGGGAAACAAAGGAAATCTGAGAGTGAGAAAATGGCCTTCTCCAGGAAAGAGCATAGCAGCCAATCTAATACTAAACGATCAGCCCTGAAAACATACATGTATGCATGTAACAAAAAAAGAGGCCATGAATTTGAAAATGATCAAGGGGGAGTATGTGAGAGGGTTTGGAGGGAGGAAAAGGAAAAGTTACAGACTTATAAAAAAATGAAGGAAAAAACGTTCTTGGCTTGTCAACAGTTGATTATGAATCAGAAAAAAGCTCACAGGGCCCCATCCCTCCCTGCTGAACTACTGACTCCTGATGGATTCTGATGGAAGGGTAGTAGCTGTCTCTAATTGTGTACCCACTGATAAACCAACCATACTCCAATGGAGAGTTCTAAACCCATAGTCACACAGATGGCACTGGTTAAACCTGGTGAGTCACAAACTAACCCAAAAAGAGTTGAATGTGGGAAAGGATCTTGTAGAAGGAGAGGAGTGACAGGGGATGGGAGGGAGATAGGAAGGGTCAGTTGGGTGAGTGTTATTATAATACATCACATATGTGCATGAGATTGTCAAAGAACAAATTTAGTAAAGGTTATTTTTAAGTGTTCTTGCTTGTTCACCATGTGGTTTTCTATTTGGGATAGTCCCATCTGTCATGTTGTTAAAGAGGGTAGACATAGGATGGAGACTGGTAAAAACTGCTTTTGCTTTTTATTATATATCAGGGCATGACCTACCATAATACTTTTATTGATAAAGATAGCAGACATCCATATATACCAATGTATACAATGGTTGTTTTGTTTTGTTTGCTTTCCTTTGGCTTTTGGCAGTTACATAGGTAAAAGGTAGCTTTGTTTTATAAAGATGGAATTCAGCTACAAACTGTTCTGCAGTCTGTATCATAAGGAGATTCTGAGTCCCCATGGCAAGAACCTGCATGTAGTCATCACAGAGCAAATGGGGAAGGAGCTAGTTCAGATAAGCTAAGAGAAGGGGAAATTCTATAGTTATGCTGACTGCAACTGTAATGATAAGTTCTCATTATTAAAGATTTTTTCTTTTAAACTATTTTTGAAATTAAAATAATTACATCACTTTCCCCTTCCCTTTCTTCCCTCAAAGGTCTCTCATATACTCCTTGTTTTTGTTTTTCAAATTCATGACTTCTATTTTATTGTTGTCACACACATATGTATATATGTGTGTGTATGTTCCTAAATACATATATACAATCTGCTCACACTGCATAATGTCACTTGTATGTATATTTTTAGGCTGAACATTTGATAATAGATAACCATTTGGTAATAGATAACAGATTGTTTTTAATCTGTTTAGTGTACACTGTGTTCTAGGCACTGCAAACCTTGTTTAAGCATATATCACTCTCCTTACACAGTCTGGAATAAATTAAGGTTAACTTGCCCATGACCACACAGAATAAGAAGGTA